CTCTGGTCTATAGGTGGGCAGTATATGTAGTTTTGAAGCAATTGGCCATATTGTTTATAAAAAAGGTACTGTAATCTAGCAACCATACATTTTAATTGTAAATAGCGAATTGTTCTTGCAAAGAACTCAGTGCTACTTCCTGTATTTTTTCCACAAACTGTCAGTTGACTGATGTAAAACTAAGATAAATATTAACAACATGTACTATTTCACTAAACCAAGTAATAATTTCATTGTGTCCTATAATTTTGTGTGCACATATAAAGCTGTTCGAACTTCTGTGTGAGGCTGCAGCCTGTTGATGTTCAGGAATAATAATCCTGATTTCCATATTTATAGTTTGGGATTTGGCAGTGAGCATGAAGCAGATGCCATTTTAACAACAGATTTCAAACCCTCTATGAAACACAAAGGACCATTGAGTTTAGAGTATTTCCTTTTTGAGTGTCTCGCCCAAAGGGTTGGACCATGTCTGACCTTCACACACAATGTCTCCTTTACCTCAAAAAATCCATCATGTAGTGCCTATAATGGATAAATAGGTAAGAAGATGGACTTTGATAACATACCGGGTTTCAAATGAGTCCACCTTTACCTAGAAATGACAAGTAAACAAATATATATCAATTTTGTATGGTAGAAATGTGTGCATTGGCAATATTTTTGCCTGTTCTTTCAAATTTATGCAGTGAGAACAATGAATTACAAACCTATTGTGGGTCTCCTTGAAAGGCGCTGGTGAATGAATAAACTGTGTAAAATGACTCTAGCAGTTGATTCTGAACCTGTGAATTTTATCAATGGGAACAATTAACACTGCAGTAACAACTCATCTGTATAGTCAAGTCAGTCCCTCCTTGTCGACCATAGCTGATATAAATGACATTGGTTAAAACATTCTTTCTTACTGTGAGCAGCCACGCCTCTCCTCTGATGTTTGTCTTTATTTACATAGATGAGTATTATATGCCATACTGTGGAACATTCCAGGGAGAACAATTATATTTCCATGGGGACAAATAGTTGCCAGAATGCACCTTATTTTGCACTACCTAAAATAAACTGAATAACTTAAGCTTGGTTTAATAGCCAATAAGAACAACTGGTATGACATATTTGTTTATTTTACAGGCCGGAAAGGTGCGGAAACACGTGTCTGAGCAGGAGAAAGCAGAGGAGGGGCTTGGACCGAATATCAAGTCCATAGTGACGATGTTGATGCTGATGTTACTTATGATGTTTGCTGTTCACTGCACATGGGTCACCAGTAATGCCTACTCCAGCCCCAGTGTGGTGCTAGCGTCATACAACCACGACGGGTGAGAATACACAACTAACAAAGTAATCTTTCCAGTTATTTAGCCCTGAAAAAAGACATGTATGAAAGAGATTTATGACTGCATTTTCTAAATTAAGGAATGTTGGTGAATGAGTTGAACTGACCTTACCCTTTATATTATTAATATAGTACAATTCAAATATATAGTATAGTATATTACATTCAATTTTCATTTATTCACCAGTTTCACAACATAATGCTGATTCTTCTATTCCAAGATTGCTCTTGCTTTAAAAAACACTGGACATATTTCTATTCTCATTTACATTATGGTACAATTTGATATCTACTGGATAATAACTAAATGTGGTATTGGCCTTTAGTTAACATAAACTCATAAACTATAAATTGTTGGAACATTTTGTAATTGCCCTCTACTCGTAATGACCTCATAATGTATACTAAAGACATAGATGTACACAATGTGTAGATTCTGAAATCTTGTCTCACATTCCCTCCCAGGTCTCGTAACATTTTGGATGACTTCAGAGAGGCGTACTATTGGCTGAGGCAGAACACAGACGAGCATGCCCGGGTCATGTCCTGGTGGGATTATGGTTATCAGATCGCAGGGATGGCCAACAGGACCACATTGGTGGACAATAACACTTGGAACAACAGTCATATCGCTCTGGTAACAGACTTATAATGTAATATTAATAATTCTCCTTTTAGGGAGGGGTCCTCCAAATGAGAAGTGGCAAGTCTTTGAAAGAAACAACTATTAATAATTCCCTCTTCAAACTCTAGAGCAAATAAATAAGACATTTGTATCCAAGCTTAAAAATGTATGAAAATGGCACCACAATACAGTAAATATAGCAGTATAATGTCTTTGGAAGTACTCCAATGTTTTAATTGATGGGGGGAATTAGCTGCTGTTGCTTTGTTGTATGGCGCCACTTAGTGGACATGACAAACACTACTTTACATGCACTGTCCGAGTTTAAATCCAGATTATGTTCAAAAGGAATATTTAACACTCTTAGATTTATATTCTTAGATTTTATTTAAAAGGTAAACAGGCAAAGTTCACAACGCAAAGGGTTTTATTTTATCATTAATATCTTTGATAAAATTAACCTGAAATTTGAAAGTAGAAGTGAGTAATGTGAAAGGCCAAACTATTATTCGATAATGACTACTGTACACACTTTTAAATTTTTTACAATAAAAAAAACAATCCTTCCTTATGTACTTTGCAGGTGGGTAAAGCCATGTCATCCAATGAGACAGCGGCCTATGAGATCATGAGGTCTCTGGATGTGGACTATGTGTTGATCATTTTTGGAGGAGTCATTGGTTACTCTGGAGATGACATCAACAAGTTTCTGTGGATGGTCCGGATCGCAGAAGGGGAGCATCCGAGAGACATAAGGGTGAGCTACTACCACCTACTAGCAATCTTAATGGATTACCAAGGTTGTCTAAACCCACTTCTGACTTGTATTAATTCAAATGTATGAAATTTTTTTTTTTTTGCACATACAAAATCTTTAAGTATTAATTTAGGCATTATTAAGGGTGGAAAAAAAAGTTTTTTTCAAGTGTCATTGAAAGCTTGCTTCAATTTCAACTGTTTTTCCTATTAAAGGAAAGTGACTACTTCACCCCTCAAGGAGAATTCAGAGTGGACAAAGCAGGATCCCCAACACTCCTCAACTGCCTCATGTACAAGATGTCTTACTATCGCTTTGGAGAGATGCAGGTTTGCAACTTTAAAGCAAATTACTACAAGCCACTACAAGCAAACTAAGACTAGCAATGCTTGCTCTGATGTAACACTTTATTTTACAAGGTTTTGCCTAATGGAAATGCATGTAATTTTTTTTTATGACTGCTTGTAACCATTGTATTTTACCTGACTGAAGGTAAATCAAAGTACTGTGTGGCAGCTGAAGCTTAGATTTTCCTCATTTAGTTATTGGGTTGGGTTATTGCGTTATTTATTTTATAACTTTTAAACTTTTTTCATTCCTATTTTTTAAGTTGGATTTCCGGACACCACCTGGTTTCGACCGGACCCGTAATGCAGAGATTGGGAACAAAGACATTAAGCTGAAGCACTTGGAGGAGGCCTTCACTTCAGAGCACTGGCTCGTCCGCATTTACAAAGTGAAGAAACTGGAGAACAGGGACCGACTGGAGCACAAGCTCAGGAGCACTGACGCCAACAGACAGAAGTATACTTCCAAGAAGGTATGAATTAGTCAGTTTTCTACAATGATCCCATTTCATTATTCAATGTCAATAAAACCTCATTATGTCCTTCTTACTATGCTAACTTCTCTTCTCACAGACATCCAAGAGGAAGCGTGGGTTTGTCAAGAACAAGCTCACCCTGAAAAAGGGCAAAAAACTCACTAAGAAATCTCGATAGGCCTTTGTCAGCCTCAGTCAGAAGTGCCCACTGGACTGAAGAGAGGACGCCAATAAAACGATCAACTAAATCCACCAATCAAAATAAACCAGAGCATCATAAAACTTTGAAACAGCCCTACTCCAGGAAACCAGAGAGTGCTTTGGACTCCAGCTTTGCCCTGATGTAAGGGGTGATAGGGCTCAGAATATATGGGAGATTTATGGGCTAGTCCCAGGACGCTCCCACTGTTGGTTTAAACCTGGGGAACTGCAATCTTTGACTGGCATTTCTTTTTGTACTTGAACGTGCTGGGGTTAGGACATCCCAAGTGGAGGAACACTTCAAATTGCATCCGTCATTAAAGGTACCGAGGGTTAACAGGTTTCAATTCAGAGGGAAATGCTGCTCACACTGATAGATTAATGAATGCATTTTTGTTATTAAAGTGGTCTGAGAGAAACAGAATTATGGCCTTGTTTTATCTGCTTTTGGAACATTACATTGTCAACAGGTGAAATTATTGGTGTTTAACAGAATATAGGAGGATAGCCAACCCAGTGGCTAATTTAACTGATGAGTTTAAACAATTTCAAAAACATGCTGGATGTGATACTGGATTGTTTCTGGTAAATGAACATGAATGCTTCCCACTGTCATCTATTAAACTGCATTTCTGCCTTTTACTTGTTGCAAATAGATAGTAAATTGCAATTTCTCAGTAAAATACTTTTGATTCATTGTTCAATATTAGAATGCCAAGCCAATTGCTATCTTGAACCTGTGAACCTGCAACAATGTTTCTAATTATTAGTTTAGGTTGAAATCTCATAATCAATAAATTTTTCTAATAATCCAAAACATATTAGTGAATTCTGTTTCTCTCGTACTATTCCAAAAGCATTGGCCTTAAGTGTGATAAAATTCAGTTCCAAAATTAGGGCAGTCAGCAAGGATATTTATTTCAGACGAAAGTGAACCAGCGTCTGATCGCGAAGAAGCAGAGATTTTAAGTTGTGATTTTTCTAGGTAAAGGGTTCTTCCATCAATTGTAATGATCTGGATGCAGGTGTGAGAATGAAATATGCCTTTTTGAATAAAGAGGTTAAAATAATATGGCTTTGTATGACTTGAATTCAAAATATTTTTTATGCACATTTTATTCAGTCTATCACTGTTCTAACCCACCCACTAACACATTGTTATTATATTAAGATAGCAAGTGAACATTTGGTCTAATTATCTTGTGTTAGTGGCATAAACATGGGGAAACTAAACACAAAAAAGTTGACAGACTAGATATTCTACTTTTTTTTTTTTTTAATATGTTCAGTTTAAGCAATGGACAGTGTATAAAAACGTACACAAATCATACTCACATAAAAACTGCATTGCCCTGAATGCATTGTCTACATCATGTTTTACAGCTCCTTTGACGAAGCCAAAATATATTTATACATTCAGTATAGTACTGAATGTACAGTATACTGTTAAATTATCAGCAAACTTGCATATACACTGAGTTTAACACACCACAAGTTCAAATTGACTAGGAAACAAAAATATGATTCGATAACCTCATAAAAATGTAAATGCATTAACATCTACAACAGCATTATACAATATTTAGTTCAGGGTCAAAAGAAATCTTACTTGACTTGAAACTTCAAAATGCTGTACAAAAGTAGGAGCTGGCAAACACTGATGATACACGCTGTATTATTTTGTGCCAACTGTATGTTTAAAAATCAGCCTCAGTATTTCACAACTGAAGAACAGATACCACTCCAGCCTCTCACTATTTGCACAACAACTTGCTATATGGACATGAAAGGTATATTTTTAAAGTTTTGCATTTCACAGAATTTTATCAGTTTGTTTGCTACAAAGGTTTCATTATGAAGAAGTGAGTGCTGTTTTCTTTGTGTAAAATGATTGAATTTGATAGCACCTGTCCCCTCTGACTTGGTTAAACTCAGTCTTCCTCTTCATCCTCATCTCCTCCAAATGACAACAGACTGTTGTTTTTGACCTTTTTACCTGAGCCTTCCTTCTTGTTTGTTTCCTCATCTACATTTTTCTTCCTTTTGCTGGAGCTCGCAGTGATGCCCTGAAACTTTTCTGATGAGGAGCGTTTAGCCGGTTTCTTGAATAGGATTTTGCCATCAGCTGGCTTGTCATCTGTGGACAAAAAACAATGATTAGAAGATTAACATATTTTTTGTGAAAATGTTCAATGTTATGTTTATCTGCTTGAACTTAAACACTAATGTTTTCTTCTGGACTTCACAGCGTATGAGAACATATGAGATCTTGGTAGGCAGTAGTACTTTCTTGACACAATTTATAAATTAGGCTGTGATGATAATAGGGATTCTTGATTTAATCGTGGTTGGAATACTCCCAATTCAAAAATGTCAACAGTATAACAGTATAAATCTAAAACAAGCATTTGGAGAAGCTGCCTCAGACGTTCATCTTATTTAGAAAAACAAAAACAAAAAAAACTAGTACCACTGTCTTTGTCCCCTTGTATCTGGTCCTTGATGATCTTTGCCTCTTCTGCAGAGAGGTCTCCGCTCTTTAACACCACCACCTGTGGCTGCTCGTCTTCCCGGTCACTGCCACTGCTGTCATCGTCTGGAGTCGGCATCACCTGACGCTAAAGGGGACAATATCAAACACATCATGTACTGTGTACTATTTGCCTAACTCGATCTCCGTATTAGCATGGCAATTAAACTATCTTGGTAAACAGCATACTTTAGAGTCTGTATGTAGTTTCAAACTATTATACATCATTATATTATACACAGGCCTGTTAAACTTTTAGGATAGTTTTTCTGGAGCTTGGAGTGCAAACCTATCCTGATGATTGCTATATGACATAGTGGATTTCCCTTTGTGCTTTACATAACCAAGAGCTTGAATAATTTAATCAGATGATGGACAAAAAGGAATATGTAGAGAAAAATTCGGCCCTCTTAATTTTAAGAAGTTTTTAAATGAACAATGGATCACGATTCATCAGATTAGCTGTTGCTATATTATAATAATTAAGATTTTAATACCTTTACGAATAAACTGTGTTTTTCTATTTTGAGTCCATCTAGCCCAAAGTCACCACAACTGAAATGATTACACTACACACTACATTTTGTAGTCAATGGAATCAGTTTTGGCCATGCTCGGCTCCAAGTTGATTTCACATTCAAAGCGTCAAAAACTCATTCAAATGTTACGATTAATCTAAGGCTAAATGTTAAACCTAAATACACCCAAACGCATACAACAGGACGAAAAGGTACTCGCTGCTAGCTCTTTTAGCCTAATGTAAAGCTAATCCTCACCTTTGTGTCTACGTTCGGTCCTTCTTTGTATCCAACATCATTCTTAAACTTTTTCAAAAACGATGGTTCTGATGGTTTCACCCAGGACACACCACTGACTTTACCTTTATTCATTTTGATCATAAAATAGAAGGCTACAAACTCAATGTGAAAAAAGGCAGCGCGTACCAAAACAATATGACGTAATCAATATGCGCCCGTGAATGAGTCATGTGACTTCAAAACTTGAGCTAATTGGTTGAAATTGTCTATGGTCAAGCTGCCAAAATTGTAATGTTTTTGAGTCAGATTCATGTTCTGGGTCCGCAGTAAAATTATAAAATGAGGAATGATAAGACGTTATATTGGTTATTTCGCTGTGATCAGACCTACATGTCGGGGAAACAAGACATAAATTAATCTTAACATGTTTCTTTTGATTTCTGACACGACTAACTACTTAAAATAGCATCTTCATCACATGGTTTCAATGTTGTAATTGTCCTCATATGCACCAATGTGACGTTTTAGAGTCGAGTGATTAAGACTGACCCTCTTTCGCTTTTTATTTTGAAACATTAGCTTGACCTATTCCGGTCAGTGTTTCGGGCGTTATGGTTTTTCCTCACACTTGAATTAGTGAATGAAAGGCGCTTCCCGATAAGTTTTACCCTCTGTAAACAATGGTTTCTGGCTCTCTTTACGCGTTATTAGCGGGTCTTTGTGGTGCAGCGGCTTCACTCTCCGCTAAACTATCTCTGGGCGCTAGTGTCCTCAAACAAATGTGTGCATCTGGACTCAAGGACTGGAAACCTGGGGTAGAGGACGCGTGTGACTGGGTAAACAAACACACTGTCTACATATGGACTCATCTCTCTGTAATAAGCTGATAATTACAAGAATATGCACGAAACTGAGGGGTTGACATGATTTCCCCTATACCTGCTTTTATGTAGTTTACTTTACATTAATTGTGCACTGTGGGAAATATGGTTTTTTATGGATATCTCAAACCATAAATTGTAAGATCATTTAGTATGCAAATCTAAAATTTTAGACACACACTCTCAATTGTCAGAATGCTAGCATGGCATAATTTCCATGAAAAAAATCACAAATATCCACACAAACTCAGACCTTTACCGGCCTTTTTTAATCAAATACCATATTGCTTAAATGTAAATGCTTATTGCACATTTACTTACCTTACCTTATTATAGATTTTCCCGTTGAATAATGAATAAAAGTGATTCCAATTCTGAACACAGTATATTCAATAACCTATTCATTCTAAACTGCTTTATCACCTCTCTCCATATTTGTAGCTGGATATCCCCCTGCGTGTGCTCTGTGGAGGCTTGCTATTGGTTTGTAACACAGTGATGTGGACATTTTTCTCCAAAGCCCTGAGACACTCCTCCTCTTCAGCTCGAGTCACGGTCACCACAACAGCATCCAACTTCATCTCCTCGGTAAGAAAACACAGATGGGACAAAAAGATCCTATATGAAACCATCAAAAACAAAGCAGCTACACTGGAATTAATAATTAATAGCCTGATAAACCAGGGAATTAAACATGACATTGGCTTTATGGAGGAAAGTAATTCTTTATACCTCAATTGTCAATTTAGTTTTGCCTCCAATACTTATATTAAACACTTTTGTACTTGCAGGCAGTGTTTGGTCATGTGATCTTTGAGGAGACCCAGGACACTTTATGGTGGATTGGCCTCTCTCTGACTCTGTGTGGACTGCTGCTGCTTCATGGGTCTACATCTCCTAGTCTACAAGGAGAGAAGGAAGACAAAAAGGACCAATGACCCACATGCCTATCACATACTACTCACGAGTATGAAGGTTTTGGAGAAGAGGCCCAATATGTAATGGTGGAGTTCTTCTTCAGGTTGGCCTTCATTTAGACAGAAGCGTGTACATGACTAAACTAGATCTAGTTTAGTCTTGGTTTACTTCATGTAGGCTATTTTGGAATGAAAAAGCCAAATATTTACTGAAGGAGTGTGAAAAGAAGAATCAGCTGGCCTGGCAAGACTTTTCTAATTCATCAAACCCCTAGAATTCTGATGGCTAGGACTGATAGAAACCAATTCAAACACATCAGGACAAACATGGAAATTTGCATGCCCTTTGAGAAAAGTTAAAAACCCCAGAAACAGTGATTTTCAACCTGGGGACCTGGGAGCTAGTCTGATTCATCAGCTGGTTTCACTTCATGGAAAGTGTCTGACCTCGCAGCATTAGGATTCGTTCGCTCGATGGTAGGCGGGTACTTTATATCATTTAACCAATTGCTGCTATTTGGTAGTCATGTATGTAATGCACCGCTTACGGGGCTAACTCGTATATTAAGCTTTTTCCCAAATCCTGTAAGAAGAACGGCAATAACGTCTTTCCCCTTGATGAAATTCACCAAACATTCTCTTTATTCCGACTTTAAATATTCGATCTCAGGAATCGTTGACAACACTAAATATATGGCTCTTCGCTGATTGGCTGGTGCCCAAATTTGCATTTCCAGTTTTTTTTTTTACTGTTTAGCGTATTCTGATTTCTGACCTAGTCGCTGGAGAGAAATGAAATTGAGCGGAGGCAGTAGGGGGCGCCAGCCTGCCTACCTGGGACCTCCATGGAGGTCACAAAATGATTTCAGGGATTCCCATATGATTTTACGGAAAAAAAATCAGGAATTAGGAAAATTAAAGTGTATGAATTAGTCTTAAACAACATTTTGCAGTATTTATAGATTGCCATTTGTTAGGCCAAGATAAAATAATAGACCATGTACTAAAAATAAAGTACATTTTTTGTTTGATTTTATCATTTTGATTTAACATTTGGGTGTCTTGAATGCCAACGGCTCTTATTATGGAGGTCATGACTGAAAAAGGTTGAGTCACGCTGGAACAATGCAAACTTCTGCCAAAGCTGAAGGACTAAAAATGTTAATCAAAGCAGCACCAGCTCTTCCAGTTTGGAAAGAATGTGACTGGTCTGGTAGGCTCAAGAAATGGAGCATATACAAGTTGGACACACCATCTCATTTAGTGTTTTTTTTTTCTACTTCCTTTCCTACTACTTTCTACATTTTGCATACATAGTGATATATGAAGAGTTAAAAAGTTAACTAGTAACTAATAACTAGTAATAATAACAATTAAAAAAGGTAGAAAGTAAAATAAGTTAAAAAACAAAACAAAAACAGAATAAGACGATGTGTTCAACTTTTGACTGGTAGAGTATATGAGGAGCAACAGGAGAACTGCATATTTTAATGCCAGTTTACATAATTTATGCAAGTATTACACATATATATATATATAATTTTTTTTAATATGTAATGTCTATTTTTGGTTTGTGGGGATCTCTCTAGCTTTTGAAAAGTCGTAAAACTTTATTCTCTCTGAACTGTACAAATAAATGTTTTGATGTATTGGATTTTCTGCCAACAGCCACCACATTTGTATAGGGAACCCTTACATTTATTAAAAATAAACCCACATAAAGATGCAACACAGGAATCTACAGCTCCTTTCAGTGGTAAAAGCCCTTCAAATGGATCTGCTGTAGCTTAAATACATGACAATACATCTCAACAGTCAAAAAGACAAAAATGACAGATCAAATAAACATATAGGAAATATATTTTTCCCCACAAAGTCACACACAGAAGGAGTTAAGGCACAGTGTGATCTAAAACACTTAAAAAGGCAATAGGCAAGTGGTTCATGCTTTAGAAAGATTTTGAGTGCTAATTAATTAAAGATGTAAACAGTGAAAAATACAGTACAATGGAATAACTTCCAGATGGTTGGAAATGCCTTCTTGCATTCTCCGTAACGTAATAATAAATAATGAGTAACATAAAACTTAAGTGTCGATTTGCAACAGTAACTATATCACACTACAACTGCACTGTGGCTAATTCTCACAAGACTTATTAAGGAATCAAAATATCATTCTAAATTTCTATCTGCAGATATAGTTGTTCTTTATGATACCGAAAACCTTGTACACATGCTATTATACTAACTACATTGACAAAAGGTACCAACCAAAACTAATTCCCAGTTTGTGATACAAACATATAAAGCATCAAGTAAAACAAACTGCCCAAAAGTTGTTCAATTATCAAATATTCTCATCTGTGCATTCATTCATCAGACCAATTAACACCTACAGTAATATGCAGTATTTGTCTTGGAAGATTTACAGAGCCTGAACAGTGGTTTAAAGTCAGAAGATAAAAATATAAATATTGCATCTCTTATGGCTGGTTCCTGTCTGTTAGAAAGCCCTGGCTGACATCTTGTGTAGCGTTTAGAGACAAGTTAAGGTTAGGTTTAGGAGAGTGGTATTTCGATAATGTCCTGTTTGATGATCTCTCCTTGTGGGACGGGGATGTGCTCCTGTGGTGTCTGTTTACAGGTCAGTCCAGAGAAGGGGCTGCACCAGGACAAAGACAGGGGCCCTCCAAACGCAGTCTGCATGGCTTCCCAGCATGGGACCTTCTCCCATTTTCCCACCTCTCCTTTCAGGCGCTCGATGCCCTGAAGAAAATAAGTACAACATTTAGATATTATGCCAGCATTAAATCAGGGCTTAAAGGTGCACTGTGTGGCTTCTCTAGTTGAGGGTCTGTAAATACATTTCTTCTGTGGAAATGTAATTACTTAGTCTGAAATGTTTGGATTAATGTATGGCACTAGTCCTTTTTATCTTCATGGACACTAAACCAGACTAAGTTACAGGTCCGATTTAAGGAGAGATAAACCCACTCACAGTCAGAATGCCTATTTTTCTAGATATTTTTGAGCAATAAAACCGCCTGTAAATGTAAGGTAGAGCTGTTCATTGTCATACTGTGTAACATTCCAGGCAGAGCAATGACATATCCACGGAAACAAGTAGGTGACGGTCCCCCACCCAAAAAGTGACATAGTGCATCTTTAAGGTTCTCTTTAAAAAAAAAAAAAAAGCATTATTCAAACATATCCCAACAGAAATCCTGAACTGGAGGGTCTCTGTAAAGTAATCACAAATTCTATTGCTTAAATTAAATGTGCATGTAGCAAATAATTAAGCAACACTATAGTTTGCTTTAATAGTTTTAAATATCATTTTGAAACTGAGTTGAAACAATTAACTAGATGTGTGCAATGCCATTGTAGATACAATAGTGTATCTAAATATATATTTGAATTGAACAACCTACAGTAAACGTGTATGGCAGAATATATCATGCTCTGATGATGTTAATAATAAACATAAGATAAAACACATGCAATGTGGGTCAGAATTCACTCATTCATTCACAATGTTTGGTTGCACTGTACAAAAACACAGAAAAGCCATGTACTGAATGTACTTTGAGCTGGCAGTAAAATGTTCATGCTTTAACCACTAGGGGGCAGGCTTACCTCTGGAGACTCTACAAGGCTTCAGAGAGACTTGGGCAAAGAGTTTAACAACCAAAGCAAATGGATGAGTGTGGACAAGACAGTAGAGGGAGAGAAAGAAAAAGGTAAATGTGAAGGGGAAAAGTAGAGGCCAAAGAAAGAACTGGAAGTATAACCTGGACCAACAACACAACCACATCTTTATGCATCAAGAGATTTATTCTACACATATGTGCTGAAATAGCTTTCATAGGAAGTTCTATAAAAACACACCTGCAGATTTTAAACATGAAACTGCAATACAGAAATAATAATTTAAAATAAATGCTTCTAAAATAAATATACAGCAATGGGCAAGTCACACAAAGTTAATTCAAGCACTTTTCCCTGCATTATCCATACCATGGTCATACCATCATTAATTAAAAGTTGCTAGTCATTTCCCTGTTGACCAAATACATTTGGTCAACTGCTACATGACATATAAAATAAGTTAAATTAATAGTCAATTAAAAGCATAAATCCCAACAAGTACATTTTAACTTTGAACATCGTAAGTAAAGCTTGAAAATCCCAAATCAAAATAATAAAATACACTGTGTTTAATACCTACTGGTTCTAATTTTGCATATTCCAAACGTTTTGTTTAAATTTTAAATAAAAAATCTCACAGAATGTAATTGCCATTATATCAGGGCCAGTAGACCAGGTACAACCCACTTAAACAAGGCTCTGGAATGATTTTGGCACATATATATTGCAAACATTTGGCACAAAACACAAAATGTATGGCATTTTTTCCCCATAACAAAATACAAATTTGTTCAGTAGCAAAAAAAAAAAAAAAAAAAAGAATGAAGAGAGCATCAGAGAGGTAACAGTGCATGTTCCACACAAACTTTACAGCCACTAAGAATGCTACGTGAGCTATGACTATATGGTAACAGTGACATACGTCTTTCATGCCACTAATTATTTTATTCCTTTGTAATATGTAGATTTCAAATATGAGGAAAATTCATATTTTTATTTTTAGTTGTAGCCCGCCTGTTACATAATGTAATTAAGTGTATAGTGTCAGGCTCTCATGTAACAAATGTAATGTAATGCTGTATGAAGCCCTTTCCAAATTTGGTAAGTCTAGATGCTGTGTTTAGCATCATTCACCATGGCTGTACTCTCTGTGGACATGTAAGACGTAAGATGTAAGATGTAAGAGGACTTTTAATATCTTTTCATTTTTTAACACTATGACTGATGTCTGGAACATACGGCTGATTCCAGTCTGGTAATCCAAGACTCAAAGGGCCAGTAACATCTAAGAGCACACAAGTGGTAGAAGTTTAACTGCTCATTTAAAATTTTAAAGTAATAAAAATTATTATGGGATCAGATCACAAACTTTCAGTTTTAAAACTACAGCTGTCCAAATGCATGTGATTTTCAATAGGCTTTTTTTTTTTTTTTAATGCATATCAAGTAAAATAAAAACAAATCATTGCACATGTGAGAACATAAATCAGGGCAAAATCATGCCTGCAGAAGGTCATTAAAAACAAAAAAGAATGGGGTGGGGGGTTTGTGGGTTCTCCCAAGACATTAAGTACAAAAGAGGTGTGAATTCCTGCATTTTAGAGGCTTTTCAGAGGTTTTCCAAAATCCCAACTGCTCATTTACTGTGATGGTAGAAAGTTTATTACTTCCCCAATAACACATCAGCTTTCATAGACAAAATAGATATTCTCCAGGACATTTGGACTTTTTTCTAACTTTCCACATGTTGGTCATGTCTGGAAAATAAGACAGCTATTGGACTGTACCAGATTTTATTTCATGCAATAACATAAACATTTGCCCAGTACAGATAAAAAAAAGCAGCTCTAAGGTTCAAAAAAGACTAATCCAACTCCATTAGCAGGCTAGACTGTAGTTAGGTGTGTGATACCTAAACTATGCTCTAGCTGCATAAAAATGTGCAACAAGCTTATAAATTAATAGGTTAGAAACGAGAGGATTAAGTTTGGACTGCAATGAATTAGTTCATGTTTATTAGTCGTCCAGGTATGATCTATAGCAAACAAAACATTCAATTCTGTCAACTGGACAAAAGTTTTAAAGTGAAGACATTTCTGAGCAGAAGAAGCCACTTGGATGAGCGGTGAAACGTCTTCAACTTTTCTCCAGTTGACAGAATTGAATTTTCCGTTTGCCACATGTTTAAGAGAGTAAAAATGATGTACCGTGCCTTTACCTATTGTGTGGCTTAGATGAGCTAACCCTTTAAACACAACTGTCAGTTAAACAGGAGAAGATAACATTGCATTCATCTGAAATCTCACATATCTTTCACAGTGATCGCAAAACAAATATTATGAAAGTTTCTTTTTCTCTGCAACTCAAAGAAATAATAAGATCGTCTTTTGAATAAGTAACACAAAGCGCTGGAATGATACGTAGGCCAGACTCAGACCACATACTGATAGGTCTCAGCCTTGCCCCCTGGATCAGGCCTGGGAGAAGGGGCTAAACCATAGTAAGGAGAAATGATGTCCGAAAACCACCCTCAAGTTCATCCACTTAGTTTTTTTAGCCCATCTTCTCTCTTCCTTTTTCAACTGCTCTATGCCCTGCAAACGAGAGACAACCAAGCTTCAGTTGGTGTGTCAGTAAAGTATCTCTAAAGACAAATGACGCTGATAAGCTAGACATTACCAGTTGCTTAGAATACTGTATGAAAAACATGAATGACCATACTTAGAAAAAAGTAAAATACTGCAGCTAAAGCAAAAAACAAACAAACAAAAAAATCACTCGACTGTCGTGCACATTTTGGATTTTCAACCAGCACAATTCATAAGTCTCTATTTTGAGTGAATTAAAACTTACTATAATGTGCCTAGATAGAACAGGATATACACATGATGTAGTATGTGATAAGGAGCCAAATAATTGACACTTCATTAAAATGTGAGTGAGTCTTTAAATTTGGTTCCACAAACAGGACTACTTGTTTATGGCAAAAATTATCACAATTATTTGGCTCATTATTAAGATCACGATTTAATCAATCAATTATACTTCTCTACTGTCCAAGTAGAGGAATTTCAGCCTGGATAAATCTGGCACCACAAACCCAAGAAGACAGATACAGTTTCTTGGAGCAATATGTCAAACACAGAGACAACATTCTGAACTTTCCTCTCCCGTGGTTGAGACATCCAGCAGTCTCACAGTGCAAGTGAGTGACCACATGAATAATTGAAATCTTCATCTTTATTCACTGCTAGGTCAAAAAGTTCACAAAAATATCACTAGCAACAGTGAATGTGGCTGAGAAGATAGTGGGAGGCTGGAGCCCAGCAGACTTCTGTCAGACAGGCTGTGAGCATCCTGTCCAATGAGGCCCAGCCTCTTCAGGATATGTGTATGTGTATCTTTTTCTCTTTGCTGCAGGTAGACAAAATCAATTGCCCCAAAGGGAACACAAATAAAGTGAAGTTGAAGAAGGGGCTAGAATTTAAGGACTTAAACTGGAGTTGCAGACAAAAAGAAGTTAACTCTTAATTTATGGCATTACCACTCTGGACTCCATCCAGACTGCTCCCGCAAAGTCTTCTTTCAACCCTTTTCAGCAACATATCTTAAAACAGTGAACATCAATATGTTTTCACACTCCTATAAGGATTTGAAATCCTTAGAGCAAAGGCAAAAAAGCAAATAAAAATAAATAATAATATAACAACATTAAAGCATCCAGCAGCAGCTGTAGCCAGTTCTCTCCGCTCACGGCTTGTGTGTCATCGCTCCACTCTCCATGAGGCAGCTCAGCCCTCAAAGGTGCTAACAGTGTGTTTAGCATTGGGCTTACCCAGAAAATGTATTTATTTACTTAATTTATTAACAAGGCACAGGGATAAAAAATTATTAATTTGAATAGATCTTGACAGCGGTAGTGTGAAAGGGTAGTCTGAAAGGTTTAGTTCAGTTTGTTGGAAAAGCAGAGTATGAAACAGGGATCAGAGGTTTAGAGGAAGGGATTTTGTGTTGGGAACTTACAGTTTCGTCGGTGCAGATGGAGTGAACCTGGGTGCCAAACATCACAGAAGTGAAGATGAGGAAGAGAAGGCCCTCGAAGCACAAGAGGATAAGGAGGATGACTGTGGCTGGAGGAGAGAAGGAGCTGCACTCTGGGACATGGGACATACAGGGACAGGGCAAAAACAAGAGCATGAGAGGAGCAACTACAATCTGGACCACAACACTACTGTGACTGTGTAGCAGCACATAATGTAAGAACAGCCAATATAGTAGTTTGTTGTCAATAATGCGATGCAAGATTATGAGCTAATAGAATCTTAAGTTAAATAGTTAAAGCTGAAAGTAATATTTTGTGAACAATTGACAGACTTTTTTGTTTCATAAATCCATCAATGTAATGTTTAAATATTAATTCTAGTCACCATCTATATACAATAAACCTAACAACAAAAATGACATGTTTTGTGCTGAATGTATGATAATCCACGGCAATTCTGTCTAGAAAAGTGTATTGTGCAGAGTACATTCAGCAAAAATATGTGGATTTGTATGACATATGCATTGATGAGTTATTTATGTGAGTCTTGGGACTTCTTTAACACAGGTCTAAGACTTTAATTGTGCTCACTGTTGTCTGCCTTTCACACAGTTCTGTTTTGACTGTGGGTGGCTGCCTTGGACATAAAGTCTTGTTAAAGGTATGTTGACAAGTGGTAATATTTCTATCAGTGGATGAAAAGGGGAAAGATGTTAGATCAATCACTGTAGATGATAGATACTCACTGGACCAATCATCTTCAAAGCAGTAAAGAAAATGGAAGACCACCATGATTAAAGCGTGCAAAGAGATGAGTGCAATGTACATCTAGTGAAAGATAACAACAACAAAAAAACACACACATTAGAGGGGGTGGGGTAAACTAATTACTTGAAAATAGTGGAAAAAATACATGAGTTTCTATAATATTAGTAAATTGCCCAACATATCCATAAAATTATATTCTGTGGTTTCAAAGAACTCTAAATTTAAGAATACATTGCTTACATATATAAATGTTTTTTAGCCTTGGGATTGATTGAACTATTCAAATTGTAAATTGAGGAATCTCCAAAACCCAACCATCTTGATGAAATCCAAACAAAGTACTTACTGTGAAGAGTACAAAGTACTTTTGGTTGTTCTCTCCTACACAGTTATTGACCCAAGGACAGTGATGGTCCATTTTCCGGATACACCGTTTGCAAACACTAAAAGACAAACAGATTCGTAAGATAATTGTTCCAATCAGATTCTGAATTTTAAATACCGATGAGAAAAAAATTTTTAATTATTTTTATTCTGAATTTTAGTTGCTGAAATTTTAAGTACAATTTTTCAATATGTTTCAAATTTAAAATAAAAAATTTACCTTTTAATTATTCTGCACGTATATATCCAAGCTCTCAAATTCAACTAAATTTGGAGAGTAAAATTTGGAGAGAATTTCACAGCAAAGATCCAAGATGCCAAGGCAGAAGCAATCGTTCATGTGTGAGTGAGGAGGACAGAGGCTGTTTCCTATTTGTTGTTCTCATCTGTGGGCGAGTTTACACTTAAGTAGTAAAAGAGATGAGGTTTTGATGAGGCTAATTTTTCAATAATGGTGAAGTGAACGAATCAGATTGGTTCACTTCACCATTTCCTGCTTGTTACTAAATTAGATTGGATCACTTTGGATAGATTGCGTAGGCCTTAGCATCTTGCATCTTTCCTGCTCATTTTTTTCACTGCAAATTTTACACTCTGAACTGACAATATTTTATTGCATAGTCCCTATTAATCTATGCATTAACTTCTGAGTTACAATTTTTCTCCTACTCTTTTTCCAAAGTAGATTTTCAAACATGAACTTCTACTGTACAAGTCTCTGTCTTGTCTGAGTGCACGGTTGTCTCACCAGTGAATCTGCTTCTTTCTACATCTACAAACAGCAGTGTTGTACAAATTACCTAATATGATCTAAAATGCTTCTAAAACTAGATTAAGAAGTAACTAGTACTTTTAGTAGTACTTTTCATTTGTAATTTTCCCTTTAATTAAGCAATTTTGGCAGCAGTACTAGTAGAAAAATTGAATACTTTTAAACCATGTAACTGCATTTTTACTCAATACGTAATTCTGCTCAAAAGTCAACTCATGAACGCTCACTAAGTGCATTTTCCTGTTGATGTCATGATGTGTGTTAATACAGTTCAATAAAACAGTCAGTTTAAATCTCTTTTTTCAGGCTTGATAGTCACAGTGAGGCAGTTGTGTCCTTGCTGTACCTGCAGTGGTGTGCTCGGTCAGGCTTGATACTGCAGCACTTGGGACATTTGTAAACGACCTGTCCAGGCTTCAGCTGAAGGCTCTCGATATACTCCTTGGTTGCATTACCTTTTGGCACAGCCCCCTGGAGGCAAAACAGATGAGCTTTAAGCATTTCCTGCACCATAATGATCTTTGGGGTAAACTAGAATGAAGGCTAATGGACTGTTTTATAAAGATGTGATCACCAGAGTTAGTCCTCAAAATGTTCTTTTAGACTTTTATGGGTTTTGTGCCGCAAGCAGTACCCAAGCAGATTCTAAAAAGATATGTAGTTTCGTTATGGCACCATTTTATTCTTAAGAATACCCAAAGCTTGATGTGTCATTTTGAAAGATTTTCAAAAGCACTCAAGTACGTAAAATTGGTCAATTAAACGATCCCCCAAAGGCAAATTAAGCACTTTGATCATACACAAAGAAATCATCTTGATCTTCTATCACATTGTGCTTGAATGTCTAATAAAATATGCCATTACAGTGTGGTATGGCAATCTGTCTGGCCAGCTTGAAGCTAGACTGCTGTGCTTCATCCAGACATTGAACAAATTTATGGATAAACAGGAGCACCCATTTCTGCAGATTAAGTTCTTCTTTTTCCTTCTCAAACCTGACAATTTTGTGAGCCTGGATTTCCCCAATAATTTAATCTATGGCTTAAGACTGCTTCATGGAACACCTCTAATGTGCATTTAAGACTATACTTTCACCCATCGCAAGTTTGATACATGAGGACCAGTGAAAATGAGGCCTAAGCTCTATGATAAGACAAACTACCAGTCTTACTTTGGTCATTGCAAAAGGAACCAACATCATCATTTTGGCCAGTTATTAAAGGGCCCATATTAAGCTATTTTCTGTATTGTTGATGTTGTTCTCCTGTCAAAACATAGCCAGAGTTGTCTTTTGTTGGTCATTCACACATGTTTAAACACACAAACCCAGCATGTTTAGGCTGTGTTTTTCTCTGAAACAGCAAACACTCTGTTCCATCTTGTGATGTCATGTGAAAATACAGGAAGTGCTCCACTGTGTTTTTAAACTCCTTACATCTTCGCTAGAATCACATGAATTTCAGTCCTGGAATTGCCAATCTCTACTGAACAAATGGTAAAAAGTAGCTGTTAATTAGAAAACTAACAGTTTATGACATCACAAGGTGGACTAATAATACAGGATTACTCAAACATGTGCAACAAAAACAAAACACAACTCCAGATATGTTTTTGATGAGGTGACAACATTCTAACGTTGCTTAAAGCTCACAAGAGTCAATTTAGTGAAATATAGGACCTTTAATACTCACCGGGTCAGTGCACATGGCTCTGAGGTGTGAGGCGAGGGCGAGGAAGGCCAATGAGTTGAACAGCAGTCCATTCACAATGCTGTAAGTCAGGTTCCTCGCCGGGAGCAACATCACGAACAGCACTACAAACTCGGCGTAAAACACAAGCAGCCAGGTGATGATGGCACCCACTATCCCACAAGCGTCTTTGATGAACCACATGCCAGGGGCTGAGTATGCTGTGATCACATCTTTGGAGATGGGGATGCGCTGCTCGGGCTGTAGGAGGTCTGTCCCATGGCCGGTCCCATTGGAGGAGGACCGGCTGCGGCCGTGCTCCACATCTCTGCATCGGCGCACTGGGCTCTTCATCCTTCATCGGCCTCCAACAGGCAAGGCTCAGTCACCGCATGCTGAAAATATTAAGTGCAAGAGATTTAAAGTATGGTAGATTCAATTCCCATGTTGTAGCACACATGACTACCTATATTTTTGCCAGCCATGCCACCACAATTACCGTACTTTTTCTGGTCTAAAGTCCTTCCTGAAGAGTGATTTGCATTCATTGTGGTGTAACTATGGCTATTATTTCTTTACTGATTACATTTTTGAGTAAATTTTCTAGGTCTGAGATGGTAATGACTTAATGACTGAAAGAATGAAATGCAGTTGTTGAATTGGTTAAATGAGCCGTGAAAATATCGGCAACCTCCAACATGATATAAGCACAAGCAAAAAGTAGGTTATAAAGATATGAAAGGAAGGATAATTGCTCCTTCCCTTATTCTTTTCAATAAGGAAAGGAGCTTCCAAGGCACATTAACCAAGGGGCCACCAAGTGGATAAGATGCACCCATTCCAATAGATTGTCACATGACATAAGCAGATACAAAAGTACAAAAGTTACATACAAATATAATATACAAATAAAACATCTGAGAAATTGTTGTATAATATAAATTTGTATTCATTTACTGGTCACAGTATTAATGCTTACACCTTCAGAACCAAGATGGATGCAATATAGGGCCTAATAAATATTGTACATCAATATATAATATATAATATATAACATATAACATATAATATACATTTTTTGTCTGTATATACTTCAACCAGGACGACCCGGGTGTGATGTAGCTTCATCCACATGTCCCTGACTGTGTTTCATTAGTTTATTCCATAGACTGCATGGTTTACTCTAAAGAAACTATTTAATTATTAAATGCTTTACAATTTGTGGATCAAGTACACCATCTATTAAATGCTTATTTGAGGTTAGGTTAAAGGTCATTGGAGTGAAACACGCCAAATACAAGCTAAAGATTGTGCATTTAATCATCAGATAAAATGACTATTCTGAAATCATGAAGCTTTGTGTTTAGTCCTGATATGGACTTGACTTGTTTAAGCTTGAGGAGTGAGCACAGCTTAAATTGGCTCATAGGTCAAAGCTGTGATTATTTGGGTGATATAATGTCCCCTTCAAAGAACAAAAGACCCAGTGCTTTCTCTGAAATGTCAGTACTCTTTACGTTTACAGTGTGAACGCCCTACTAATAATGAACTTAATGAAATTAACTAACTAATTCAAACTAATTACCTACATTGATATGGCTGACTGTATGATTGAAAGTAGCTAAACTAGTTCTACGATGTGGCATTAATGCTCTCGACACCTCACTTAAAACACAGAATGTGTTCATTTCATTGTGAACCTTTAGTACTTTGAAGGTTAACTTTACGTTGCTCATAGCCCTCTCCCTTTCATGGACACTGACCAAAAATGTCTCCACTGAAGCTTATCTGATGTAAAGCGGCCTAATCTAAATGAGCTGCATCACAATAACAAGGGAAACATCGGCAAATTGCCTTCATTGCAGTTGACATTAGCTTAGCCACTTAGCTTAGCTGGGTGTGAAAAGTGAACGTTTACTGACCTGTTTTTATAAAAGAATAACCCTGGTCGGGTCTCTGTCAGTGGATAGTGGAGGTCCCCAGAAAGTATTTAAGAAACAATCAAACATATTGTCCGCTGATCTCGCCTTTAGCTGTGAGCATGATGCCACCGCGGCTCGGCGGAGAGACCTGCGCGTGCACTTCCGGTGCAGTCTGCTTCTTCTTGATGTTGCATGTAAGGTTAGTTGGCTTTTTAGGGGCATTACCGCTTTCTACTGTTCTGGAATGTGGATCAGAGACGGAACTCTGTTTCCTAAGTATGTTTGTGTGATGTAGGCTATGAAAAGCCTCTGCCCAGATAGACTGTGCCTAATGAAATGGACTTCAGAACAAGCAATACCACACTCAAACTAAAGTGCATAAAATCTTCACAATAGGCCCCTTTTGCCTTCTAGAGTTTGGGATTGGCTCCACAAACACGGCACAGCCTATTCAAGTTTTTTTTTTTTTTTTTTTTTTTTTTTTTTTTTTTCAGTCGCTTTGGCACATTTACCAATTGAAAATTGCCAATTGCAAAACAGCTCACTCAAGCAGACTTTTAGTTTTCTTCAAGAAAATTTTATCTCAGCAGTTTTACATTCAAAACTGATCAGTCATCTCCCAAAAGTTTTACCGTCAAACCCTCTTCATGTGTTTTTCTGTGCTCCTTTATTCATTTGACAGATCAGCTCAGAAGTTTCAGTCCTCCTGTCCATGACACTGAAAATCACTGATTTAGTACCTTTGGCAAATGGTTACACACATGAATTTTGGACTGAAAAAGCCTGACTTTATTGTCTGGGACCTGTCTGTATTGTATGTACAATATACATGTACACATTACTAATTGTAAAGTAGATTTTGCAGTATTTGATCCAAAATACTTAATTCAATACTTAAATGTTCTGAAGAAAACTGAAAGATGTTGCTTTTTGCTGTCATGTTTGAGTTTCTACATTGAAAGAGTTTGTGCCGTCATCCTTTACTACATGAGAACAGACCTGTAGTGTTAAAAAAATAATTAAAACTAGGTGAATTCAATGCTCATGGGTGTTTGTGAATGAGAACTGTGTCAAGTGTTGTAAGAAAGAGGCAGAGAACTCTGTGAACTTATTAATGTTCCTGTTCAGATACATGTTTGAATCAAATGTTTTTAGTTTTTAGGCTATCCTGTCAGAGAAGATGTTGAACTGTGTAACAGTTTTTGTTTCAGGTGGGTTGGCCCAGTAACTACAGAGATTTATCATTTTGTAATGTTTTCGTGATGGCTGAGTGACTAGCCCTCCTTTGTGAACGGAGTTTAGAATCAATTAAAAAAAAAAAATAGGCTTGTACAAAAATGTAGGTTATAATACCCCAAGACTGCCTGGTAGCCTACTGGTCTGAGGAACTTGACCTATGAGCCGGTTCCTATGCAGTTTGTTGCCTGTAATTACATATTGTATGTAAGTTAGAAAGGCAGAAGAAGGAATTCTCTGTTTAAAAGGCCTGATGTTTTCTGATAAACTGTTGATCTGTTTTGGACCAATCTGGTCACAGACAAACTCACACAAACAAGTGAAAAATCTAGACATAATCTAATAAAGCATATTGTATACTTCTTAAATTTCCCCTCATCCTGTAAGTTCCAAAGTTTGAAGGCAAAACTGCTCATAGCTCTGTCTGAAGCAGCTGTCAAAAGCACAGACAAATGGACAGATTTATGAAATGTGTAAATAACCCATGTCAGTGTCAATACAATACAATACAATACAAGTAGGAGCTGTCAACAAAGCAAATTGTCTATTATGTCTGTCAGCCCTTAGATGTTTTATCACATCATTGAGATTGCTGTTTTCTCGTGGAATCCTGTTAGTAATCAACAGACAATAATTTCTAATTGTGAAAAGGTCTGTCAGCACATGTAGCACAGACTAACCACTAGAAATAGACATTCTGTTCTCAATCAATCATTTCTTTTGAGCTTGGTTGTTCAGTTACGTTTTCACACATTACTGTCATGGCAGTTAACTTAAGATTATTATTATAACACTTATTACAAAACTTTTATGTACCATTTGTACATTTATAGTATGGCTTAGAATAGGGTCAACAATGGGGAGGTGGCATCTACATTTCTTTTTATATATGCAAGAAGGCTACAATAGAATCAGTCTCCAAGATGTGAATGTAACATAAACCGTGTTGTATGTGTCTGCATGTTTGTAAATAGTTACAGTACAATTAAATAATTCATTCCCAGTTCCCAGTCCTCGGGAGTTAAACCATTCAAAAGAAGCTTCTCTTAATTTAATCCCTACAGTGTTCACTAGAGGGCAGTAACATACAGCTAACACAGTCACATCATGAGTCAAACTAATTTGAAGCTTGGATATGGGAGTGTGTGCTTATTTAATCATCCGTATAATTTGTATATTACCAGAATACAGGATACTTTTCTTTTTTATTCCTCCCTCTGCATCATTATCAAACATCCTATAGACACTTAGTGAGAATTTTGAAGGCTTTGTCTCCTGTTGGTTTTGTTGTTGTTAATTAAATTCATTATTCTCAGTAATATCAGATATCATCAAAATGTCCCCATCCCACACTGTGTTAAAGCATATATTATGCACAACAGTGGCTTCAGAAGTATTGGAGTTACATTCATTATGTTTTATTTATTTTTTTTTTTTTTTTTTTTCCAGTGATCAAAAATCCAATTTAAAAATGTATGAAGAAGAAAAAATCTTAGAGCTTTGGTTGTGAGATTATAAAATGCATTTATGTTCTAATCCCTGTATGTTATTCTTTCCCCTGGGTTTAATATTTACAATCTCCTTGGTATCTCCACATGGCATTATAAATCAGATAGTGCTTGTTCAGTTCCCCAGACACCACTTCACTTTGGAAACACTACATAATTGTCTCTTATATAACCATTGCTTACATTATGGGGTTAGTTATTTCACATGTTAGAATTATATTTTAACATGAGAAACGATTTAACAATCTTGCAATTTGCTGTAAATAAGCTGTGCTTTAACATTGTGTATTCAAAGGGCAGAAAGTGAGCAGACAAAGAATAGCCAATGTGCAGGAAATCTTTTAATCTAATGTACTCGGCCTTAGCCTCCCAAAACATTTACTTTCTTGTTAGGAGCCATGCCCTAGAAGCAGCCAGAGAGCAACTGTATTAGAAGCTAGATGAACAAATATTATGACCAATTTATCTTTTAATTACCAGAAGCTGCAAAACCAGACAGAATAAATAGTATCCTTCACAATACAAGAACAACTAAAACAGGTTAACTGTTAATTACTTGTGGTGACTTTGCTTATAACAAACTCTTTGCTTAAGGAGCTTTCCTCTTCTTCATTCTGTGTGGAGTTCATGTGCTTTTAGGCGTATTGATTTGAGTTAGGGTGGGACGAGACAGTAGATGCGGATGTATTGTTATAGATTATTTTTCTCAATATCTTGTGCAGACTTTGCAAAATAAAAACTTGGAGTTTAAGATGCTCCCTGTCAGAATGTATTCTCTATGTGGAGGCTTTCCTCCCACTTTTCATATAAGATAAATGTTATAGTACTGAGCAATAGCCATACTTGAAATTAATTGTTTATAAGACTTTGCGGATAAGGACATGTCAGAATACCATAAATAGGCTCACCATTCTTTCCTAAAATACCCCATTGTTCGAAATGCAGCAGAGCACTGTTTCGTTCAGAAATGTCCCCTTACACTATTTTGTATCATTATTGTACATTAGCTTTCAGCTGTCAGTATTGAGAGCTGAAAACACAGTGCTCAGTGTCTGGCCTCCTTCACCCTTCTTTCAAATACTGAGGTTCTTGGTCCAACAGCAATGACTTTTGTAAGTGTGGCCCATTTCCCCCATGTGCAGGTACTGCAGAGTTAAGACCAGCAGACGTGTTGCTAGAGGAGCTTCCCAAATAACTGTTCCACCAGTGTATATGCAGTTACAGTATACTCCTCCTGATTTGGATCTTGTCTTTGTCGTTGTGTACTCGCCTGGTGTGTGAGGAGTTAAAGGGTTTCATTGCTGTACTAATGCCAGGCTTGCTCCACTGTGGGAGTTAGGCTTGTTAATAGATCATAGACATCTCTTCTTGTTATCTCTAAAAAACTGCAAAAAGTCAAAGACCATTATACTCAGTCAAACAACAAGGTCCATTTAGAGCTGTCCAGTTCTGAAGATGGCTCTCAGCTAGCAGCCAAAACATGTCAAGGTGAATACATCTCCCAAACAGAGCCGTCTGTCTACAAGAAATCCAATATAACTATTTCACTGAAGACAAGATGAATTTTACCAAAAATCAATTTAAGAAAACGTCTTGGAAAATGAAACAGATATTTTCATGACCCATCCTTGTTCACAGATTATAAACATTTAGTCAAAACAAAGCTGTCCTCCTTTTGTAACCTTAGCATGGTGAGGTTAAGGCTACAACAACAGCAGAGGTATAAATAAACTCACAGTATTACGGACAAGCTACGACACAGATCTACTCTATTTCTATTGGGATCCTATTCAGAAAAACATCAACTAGAAATGACTAACAGGAAGGTGTTCATGTAATGACAAAGGTAGGCAAAAGCTCTTTTCAGTAAACTCACATTTGTTTTGTAAATGAACATTACCTGGGCAACATTCAGGCTTAAATACATTTGCAGGAATAAATTGCGTTGAAAAATACATTTTCAGAGGGTCACAAATGGCTGTGTACAGACCAAGGCTCTTAAAGATGCGTGTATTAGAGAAGGGCTTTTTCTGTTGATTGCAAGAAAGCTAGTTAGGCTGGATGATGGACAGGCACAGATATTGGACAGGGCAGCTTTGGTCTTTTTCCTACAGTTCCGTTTTTAGTGAAAGCAATTAGTTACAGCAACAGAAAGGAAAAAGGGCATGGTAGTGAAGCTATTAAAGCTCCTGTGTCTTCTGTTTTTTTCTTTCTTATTTAATTTTATAATCACAACATACACCATTTGCTGTAACTTGTTGTTTTAAGTCTCACATATAAATATCATGGATACAGATAACATTTAAAGAAGTTTGGTATTTGGTCACTGATTACATTACATCTAGTAGTAGTAGTAGTTTATTTGGTCATTTTGCAGCACTACAAAACAAAACAAAACAAAACATAGAGTGCAAACTCATAGATCATGACCGGAAGGGTTTAGGCTGAAGTAAAAGGTACTTACAATGCCTAACCTTATTAAATAATCACAAAATTCCAAAAAAGCAGCATATGAACAGCAAGTCTGCATTTACAATTTCACTTACGACTTACTGTATATACAAGAAACAAAATATAAATTAAAACTAACAAAATTGAATGCATAATTCATTCATTCCAGAACTCTATTTCTTTCAAAACATAATGCTTTATACTCTTTTTTTAAGGGCTTCTACAGTATTAGACTTTTACTTTTTTGTAGTTCGTATCTTCATTTTTTTAAAGATACCTGTTCCTCTAAGGTTATACTGACTTTCTCTCTGCTCATATAATTCCTGTAAACAGCAGATGATTATAGGCCTCGTACATCACTACGGTTGTACTCAGGTCAACAAGATCAAAAAATTTAAGTGCTTTTAGCTTGACAAAAAAATATTTGTTGGTGCATAGTAATTCACATGATTAATAATCCTAATAACCTTCTTTTGGAGGAGAACAATTGTATTAATATTTGATTCATAAGTATTCCCCCATATTTCCACACAGTAAGGAAGGAATAAACTGTTATACAGTAAATAAAGGGATTTTTTCTTCGGGAAGTCTTTTCATTTTACTCATTATAGCAACAATTTTAGATAACTTTGTCTGAACTATACTTATTTGCTTTTTCCAGTTAAGTTTTTCATCTATATGAATGCCCAAGAATTTCTTAACTGATACTCTTTCAATTTCTATGTGATTAATTTTAATATTATTTTGCTTACTGATTTTTCAAAGATAATATATTAGTTTTTTCCAAATTTATTGAATGTTTATTAATATCAAACCAATCCTTTATTTTAGTAAGGTCATTTTCTACTGTGGACAGAAGATGCTGTAGGTCTTTTCCTGAACAATAAAGATTGGTGTCATCCGCAAATAAAATGCAACTTAATTTGTCCACTGCCTCAAAGACATCATTAATGTACATAATAAATAATTTATATCTAATACTGACTATAGCTGACATAGATATCTATCAAACTGTGTAATTGTTTAAGATTACAAACTACTATGTAAAATGTTTGTTTGATTTTTTTTTTTATAGTTTCAGCTGAAATATAGATAGTAAGTAATTTTAAATTTGAATTCTATCAACTAAACAAAAGTTTTTAAAGCACCCATATTACACTATTTTCTGATCTCATCACAAACATACCTGAGATTTTGTTCTGTTTCATTCACATGTTTGAAACACAAACCCTGCATATTTAGGCCGAGTTCTCTCAAACAGAAAACACTCTGTTCCACCTTGTGATGTCATGTATCCATACAGGAAGTATTGTGTTTTCAAACTCCATATACCTTCACTGGAATAATTTGGATGATTTCAGCCCTGGAGTTGCCAGTCCCTTCTTAACTAAAGATAAAATGAGCTGTTAACATGAAAACTATACTGCTTCATGACATCACAAGATGGAACAGAGCATTTTGAGCTTTTGTAGACAAACTAATAATAAAGGATTGCCAATCATGTGTGAATGAAACAAAACACAACTACAGTTATTTTTTGAGGCAGTAACATTATAACATGTATTAAAGCTCACATAAGTCAGTTTTATGTAATATAGGACCTTTAAAAGTGAATACATCACCACTCATTCAAGCTGCTTCAGTTCTGGTTATGGTAAATAATTTGAATATTTGCCTGAAAAGTAAAGACAGTTGTTGATCCTGCTCACCTAGAGTGTGGCAAAACATATTGACTTTTAAAACATTAGGTCCAGTTGATAAAATAAAATAAAATATTTCTGCTTGTGTATTGATTATATTCTCATGAAAAGAAAAAGCTTAATAATTAATGGAACTGTTGGTACATTTTTGTTAGTGCACATCACATAATTTCTTACACAAGACAGATGCAAATTACATTACCACAGCCTGTTCTAACTGAAACAGGCTTACTTAAAATGCATACAATACTCAAAGGACCTCTGATGGAGTTTAAAAGACATAATTTGACCTAACACATTAAAACTTGATGGGATAGTGTGTCATCAGGAGTAGGAGCTGCTCTTTGATCACTCTGACATTTAAAGAGAGGCTCTGAGGAGATGAGAAATAGATGTGGGGATCAAACAAGGCCATATCAGCAAATGGTTTGGACAATTTTTGACTGCTATGTACTGACAATTTTGGGAAGTAACTGAATACATGCATTGAGAATACGTTTTTAGAATACTAATTTTGAGTACCTGTATTTCAGCACAGTTACTTTTTCATTTGGTGATATTCAGAATACAGTGACGTTTCTAAAATCACTGGAATACACCATGTAATTTAGGTTTCAAACTGCAAGTTATCAGTGTGAAAAACAGAACACTCTGCTCATGTGGTGAGTGCATGTGTGATTTTTCCATCTCCCATTAGTGACAGGAAATGCACAACACATAATGAAACAAATATAAAGCTGTTTTTAATACTATGTTGCATCTTCATACTATAATTTCAATGCAACTCAAGAATACATTACTCTGATTGTCCCATGTATCAGAATACAATACAAAATACATGCATTATAATGCAGGTACTCAGTATTCTGTAACTTAATACATTTTCAAAGTATTCTTCCCAACACTGTGTACTGAAGCCAAAAGCATATTTTTTCATATCCAGGCCTATACCACCAGGGAAGTTTGTGACAGCTAGTTTCTGACAGCAAAAGTAAGCTGGAAGTAGTTGTGTCCCACCCCAAGTGATTCCCATACTGTGTTCAGGACAGGTGCAGTTGGACATCACTAGTGTAGATGTGAAAATGGATGTTGTGTCTGGAAATGATTGGTCCCAGGGACAGCATGCACAGTGAGAAAGGAGTCAGACCCAAAATTGAGCCTTGGGGAATTCCTGAAGAATAGAGAGCAAGTGCCACTCTGAAATAATAAGATAATAATATAAAAAAGTTTAGTTGTCTTAGAGACTAGTTTATTTATCATGGACAATGTACATAAAACACTGACTGACACAAAAGAGAAAATATGTTTATGCTGGGTTTGAGCAAAATTTCCAGCTTTAGTTCCTGTAAGAGTAACTGAAATGGCTCCATTTGGGAAGTAGGAGGTAAACTGTTTGAAAACTTAAAACAAGTCTCTATTACGTCTATTACATTTGGTTTGTTTTTATGACAAGACAAGGGCTGATTATGCCAATTACCTAATCCTTCATTATCCTAACGGGAGGAATTGGAGTCTACAGAGCAGGTGGTGGGTTTGAGTTCCTGGAGCATCTCAAGATTTGTGCGTGCATTGGCTCATCTCTCTCTGTACACTGTAGTACAGCAGAGGACCTTAGGGAGGGTTTGGCAAATAGAGAGAGCTATAGGAACACAAGTTTCTTCAGGCACGCCCCTAACCACAGCAGTAATGGGGCTCATTACACAGTTTAAAGACATAAACAAAACTCTTTATTTTTAGGTAAAGGAAGGAAATAGTGCATTAAAGCTGTGTGTGCCTGGTACCTGTCTATATTTAGCCATACAGTTGATTGTAAAGATAATCAAGTAAGCAACAACCCTGAGCTTCAAATTAGCATTTCTCAAGTATGAGTACATTGTCTGCCAGAGCGATAAGCGAATGATTATGCCTATTGTGAACATTTGATTTAACATTAAATCTCACTCAGTACATTTTTACACAGACACACAATGATTACTTTAACAAAAGCTAACATTAAAAAACTCTTTGGACTTTGATGAACAGGCTTCACACTGCTCCTTTTGCCTTGAACATGAGCAGAGGCTCTGGTGGAGAAGCATGGGATTTGGATAAGGCCTGTCATAATTATAGTGATCATTACAACAGATTGGCAGAGGCCTATTTCAGTATCAGTATTACATTGGCATACCTTTTCTACAACACAAGGCTCTACTTTTAATCAAGTTCAGAAATATACAAATGAAATTAATTACATTTTAAGGTTATTGATGGACCAATTATACAGAAAATATACAACAATAGACTGTAGCAGATTATAACAGAAATCTTTCAATATTAGACAGCAGAACTAAATTTAAAATGTTAGAGACATTTGACCTCTCATCCATGATCTTATCTATGATTTCAGGTTAGTGAAATCAGGGTGGGTACAATCAGGGGTGTCAGACAGAATTACATAGTCTGTAATATACAATTTTCATATAAAGAGCATGTAATATGGACTCACCAAGATGAACTGGACTCAAGGCCCAGATGAAATGCGTAAAAATGCATGGCAGTCAGTTCAGGAGACCACACTTACACAACTATATGTACACTTACTAAACAGTTTTTCTCCTTTCAGGTCACCATGAACACCACCTCACTGAACCAAACACACTGTCCTGAAGTTAAAGTCCCAGTGCCCCTGTTCTTCATCATTGGAGTAGTTAGCTTAGCAGAGAACCTCCTGGTATTGATAGCAGTGATCAGTAACAGGAACCTGCACTCCCCCATGTACTGCTTCATCTGCAGCCTGGCCGCCTTCAATACGATGGCGAGTCTGACGAAGAGCTGGGAGAATCTGATGCTGCTGCTGGCAGATGCAGGACAGCTCCAGAGGACAGGCCTGTCTGTAAAAAGACTGGATGACCTCATGGACTCTCTGCTCTGTATGTCCTTCATGGGCTCCATCTTCAGCTTTCTAGCCATTGCTGTGGATCGGTATGTAAAATTTTATACAAGTTTTATCGGGGACATTTACTCTGTTAGAATGTGGTTGTGTGAATTATTCATGCTAGAATGTACTTCTCCCTTGTGAACCAGTCAGTATATGTGGGCTGATAAACCACCCTAAACCAGCCTTATGTAAGGGACAGCAAAATAATAGATTTTCAATGCAGGTTCTTTATTACTCGGATGTCCATTTTAAATTGGTACCCAAATATATTTCATTCAGATCTTATCTTTCACATCAGATCTTTCATATGTGGAGCACTCAGTCCTCGTTATTGCTGGTATAACCACTATTCAGAACAGACAAACTGTTATTTATATATGATATGATATATATGTCCCTCCATAAGAAAGAACCATTGGTACATTCGAGTGCTACCACTTGCAGTATTATAAAAAATGATTACATAATGATATGCAGTTAAAACATGTGGGGTTGTAGTATTATTCTTTTATTACAATGTCAAAGAACAGAAATAAAAATATATATTGTTGCATTAACAACATTTTCTTTCTGTATTTGTAGCTGAAATGCTGTTTACTTAATGTGATTTGCAACCACTACACAGGCAGCTAATGGGGATCCTAATAAAACAATAAAACAATGTGATGTGGTCTGAATAAACACAGAATGTGGTTTGGCATCCTTCTCAAAAACATACCCGGTCAAGCAGACTCACTACTACCATCCAATGTCAAACCTGTGTCAGGAGAATGTAACTGAAAACTCCCAGAGTGAATGAAGGCTAATGTGAACTGCTCTGTTTGTGTCTCTGAAGCCAATTATATTCTGTGCAATTTAAAAATTTTTTTTCAAATGGAACCCCAAATCCTATGGTAAAACTGATTAGTTATTGAGGACAGAATAGAATTTATGATGCAGGTCTGTATCTTTCACACAGCGCACTAGTAAGATAAAACTGAGCTGCTCACTGTACAAGTGAAGTAGTTTAGAGAAGTCGGAGGATGTAAGCTGCAAATATATGTAAGGTGTAAGGATACATGGAGGTCTGAAAAGGAGAGAATACTGTTTTGGTCTCACCACCTCAAACAGTGGGTCTAAATTCATTATTTACAGTATTTACCAAGTATTGGTGGGGCTAACATCAGCAAGAGATGACTCAGATTTCTATTTCTATTTCTATTTCTATTTCTATTTCTAAACTTCCCTGAATTGTATGTTTGCAGGAAGGTACATTATTACACACATATTATTATCCCTGCTCACCACTGTGTTTTCTGCCAATGTAGAGCTTTGCACCTATGTGTTACCATGACTGCAGTTGTATTTGTATGCATTCAACTATCTTATATCCTATAAACTATAGTGTAGTTCCCCATACTGGTGCTACATCTCTGACATTGAATTGCTGAGCGCGTACAACATTGATCACTATATAATCACCCCCTGTGCAACTCCTCTTTGGCACATGAAAAGGAAAAGAGACATGATTTTTGGTCCATGTGAAAAAATCAGTAGGCTATTGAAAGATGTTTTTAAACCCACATGAAGTAGTTTTTGGAATAGTTTCATGTCTGTGGTACTTGCCTGGATCTGGATCTGGATGCGTGACCAAACATTTAATTACACAAATGATAAGTCAAGTTTTATTAAATCAATCTGCCCAAAGGCTCTGCAGTATTCACAATGGACCTCAGCTATTATTGTCACCTGTGTCAATAAGAGGCCGCTCATGTCAGTAATACATAAACCCTCATATCTGGGATTGAATACAGTAAAAACAACCAGTGATTTAAGTCCAAAATGACAGTCATCCTCAGTAAGAATAAAGGCATGTTAAATAAATGAATAAATTGTGTATATTGATATTACAGAACAATTTCAGAAATGTTTATTTTGTCAATTTTTCCATCAAATAATGAAGAACCTTACATGTAAAATCGAACAATGTGAAATTACATGCATTGATGTTCCAGTGTCTCATAATACAACAATGAAGTATTAAGTAAGTATTTAAAATAAGTTATACCGTCAGACATGTCTTAAATGTCCTGGTTTTATTTCACAATTCCCAGTTCATTAAATACAATGTACACTTTTAACTCTGTAAAAGTTGTGAGCCTGGTTGTTTATTGTACATAGACTTCCTTTTCTCAATGACCTTCCATGACTGTAGTACACAGTAGAAGAGGGCATTACCTCTGTAGTCTGGAGTTTCTAATCTAATCGCAGAACTTTGATTAGAGGTAATTAGAGGACTTTTTGGACAAATTGCTGTTTTGCTATTTTTTTCATTTAACAATTTAACAAATTTTAAATCATAGGGATGCTGTTTGTTTTCAGTTGGAGCTGGTTAACAACTGCCCTCAGGTTCATGATCTGCGATAACAGTGGAGATTAATCAGTAGCACAGCCCACAGTGTGTTTATTATCCCTTTATGCAAAACCACATGGGCCTCAGATGAAATAACAAGATAATAGAGGGCACACTAGCCTGCAAGATTTCCAAGGGAGATTTTACCATGAGACTACAGTACATACATTGAAAAGCAGTATTAGACTTGAATTTGAAAAGAAAAAAAAAAAAAAGTTTAGACTTAGTTCACAAAGGCGTCTGGCCATGTAAAAATGATTTTATCCCAGAATATGTATTTAAATAATCTTTTAACAAAAGTAGACCTCAACTGTTGATAAACAGAAAAAATGTACACTTCTTATTTTTCTTAATGAGCTATTCTGGGACAGGAATGCAGTCTTTTATCTCAGGTGGATGTTCTCTTCCTGTCCACAGTTTTCAAACCCCGCACGCAGTCTATATATTTAATTAATCAAACCCACATTTCTGCAACAGAATTTTTGGCTTGCTCCCTCAGATGAGCCTGTGTTACTGAGAGTTATTGCACACAAATCTGATTTAGCCAGTGTGGTTTGAGATGATAAAAGAAGAATTGTGGCGGAGATGGGAGAGTAGAAGCCTTGTGCTTCTTCGTACAAACTGAAAAAAAGAAATTAAAAAGTTCATACAAGTCATATAAAAAGCAATCGTTAAAAATGAGCTTTTCAGAACTTTTAACTGTTATAGCTGTTTGCCCTTCCCATTTACCGTCTTATGTTGTGTTTGGAGTGATTTTTGCATGTTTGAGCAATCTTAAAATCATTTTATCTTATTTTCAAGATGCCATTTTGATGACCAGTCCCTGTTTCCTCCACAGCCAGCATACGCCCACTGCTTTGTACTTGTCCAATTCTCCATTTTTTTTCCTTAATTGGTGATATGCCTTGTAGTCATCACTATTTGCTTCTGTGATATGCAGCTATCCATCGGAGGTGACGATAACTTGGTGTCTCTTTGTTATGATGATGTTTATGGCAACATTAGCTCCCACTGGGCACCATCATTTTCTAACGTGGAAGTCAGCAGACTTGTTTCTTTTATTAAATAGTCTTAGATAAATATTGTGATCCATGGGTGTCATAGATTATAGCAGACACAAGCACAATAGGTCTCCTTTAAGATTAATAAATATTCTTATCTATATAGGTCCGTTGAGTTACTTAAATGTATTTTAATGTGTTCCGCCTGTCAATCAGAAGTGCTCAGCAAGCGTGTTTTAAACTCAGCCTTTCACTTCACTTGTCAGCTTCACTTTGCAGCAGATTCAGAATCTCATTTTAGATGTGACAGTTTAGTGCTTAAACTTTGGGATCTCTCCACAAAACAGCAGAGCTGTGATGTGTGGCACTGACTAACTGTTTTCAAATGAACTGCTAAAAAGTGTCCCCTTAAAAACACTTTAAATTTGAATTTATTTATAAATTTAACGTGATTATGTATTATAGTTTATATGCACTTTTAATTGTTACTGGAATGTACAGTTATGATGCTTTAAACCATTTTATAATATTGTTACCTCATCAAAAACATACCAAGAGATGTGTTTTGTTTCATTCACAAATGTTTGAATAACCCTTTATTATTAGTCTGTCTACATCCCCAAAGCTCAAAATGCTTTGCCCCACCTTGTGAAGTCATGTAGTGGTAGTTTTCAGCTACCTTTTACCATTTTTTGCAGGGATGAATTGATCCAAATGATTCTTGTGAAAGTGTATGGAGCTTAAAAACACAGTGGAGAACTTGCTGTATTATCATATGACATCACAAGGAGGAACAGAGTGCTTTTTGTTTGCAGGGTTTGTGTGTTAAACATGTGTGAATTAAACACAACTCCAGGTATGTTTGTGATCAGGAAACAACATTATAACATAGACCAGAAATACACATAATATAAACCCTTTAAACAGTAAATGTCATATTTTCACTGGTCTGCATGCCCATATGAATCAACTAAATCAAGCTTCTCTTTCTACAGCTATATCACAATTTTTCACGCTCTCCGGTATCACAACATCATGACCATGCGACGGACGGCGGCCATCTTGGCTTTGATCTGGATAGTGTGCGGAGTCTCTGCGCTGCTGATGATTCGCTTCTTTGAGTACTTCTTCATCAGGATCTGTTTTGTGGTCTTCTTCATGGTTTCCCTCTCTGCCATCTGTTTCCTTTACGTGTATATGTTCATGTTAGCTCGAATCCACGCTCAGAAGATTGCCTCCCTTCCAAGTGGGGCAACAACGTCCAGCAGGAGGCAAAGACGCTGGGGCAGTAACATTAGAGGGGTACTTACACTGACCATTCTGTTTGGGGCATTTTTGGTTTGCTGGGCTCCATTTTTCCTCCATCTTATTATAATGATGGTGTGCCCATTCAACCCATATTGTGAATGTTATAGATCTTTGTTCCAGCTCCACGTGGTGTTGCTGATGACTCACGCGCTCATAGACCCCGCCATCTACGCTTTTCGCTGTGCCGAACTCAGGCGCACCTTCAGGAAGATGCTGCTCTGCTCATCGCTGCTTTGACTCACCAGACAGAGACAAGAAATTCAACTTAAAGGTGCATTATGTAACATTTCTGGTGGAGAGGTCAGGTCCACAACCTGCTTTCTCCATGGACATGTTATTGCTTTGTCTGGAAAGTTTCACAGTGTGGCTTTAAACCTTTCTATCATCACGGAGACACAACCAGGTCAATTAATGCTCAGGTATTTTTGAGCAATAAAACCACCTGTAATTGAATAAATATAAGTTAGACCTGCTTAATGTCATGTTGTGGAATATTTAAAGCATTGAAATGACTTACAAGAAGGTTACATAATGCACCTTTAAGCCTGCATAAATTACAAGCAAAAAAGGGGGAAATGTGTTGAGGTTGACAGTACAGCTGTAACCAGAATGATAAAAATAAAAATCTAAAACAGTGAATTAAGGAATGAATGAATTCTTCTTGTGGAAGAATTTCAACTTTTTTATTTTACTGTCTAATGTATACAGCTAAAAATATCCTTATCACATGTTGATGAATGTATGAATGTATTAGTATGTATTTGCTTTACTAGGGCCAGATAGTAGACATATCATTATAGTCTTAAAACACGAAAAAATAAAAATGGATAATTACACATTTTGCAGTGGGACTAAAGTTATTCCTCACTTACCAATGCATTCTGAACATCACGACTTTGAGAGGTCAGAGGTGAGTTTTACAGTGACGGTATAAGCTAACAACAACTACCATGTAATGTGCACTCCCTGTTTATCTGGAATTAAAAATCTTTCTAATTGATGCAGACAGCACGCAGCTGACCTATTACGAGATTTAAATTACAATTAAAGTCCTGGTTATCATCGTCTCCTTTCACTGTTGTCATGGTTTCGTTGCAAGCTCCATGTACATCTGAACAAAATGAAAAACAAACAAACAAAAAAAAGTATTAAAATGTGAATTATCTGCACATGTAAGCAGGACCCAGCTGCTTTTTATTCATGGAGTTGAGTCGCACATCATGCCTTTTCTCTATTCATTTCATTATAATTCAGGCATTATCTCTCAATGTTCAAGTAAGAACATCTTGAGAAGAGGGGGGTTAGATAAGAACATATAAAAAACCTCAGAAGAAAGAAATAAAAAGTCAATGTCAATTTGAGGTCAGAGCTAATGTATTGAAATGCATTATGCTTGCAGTCTAGCTTAGTTTTTTTTTTTCTCCCCCATTTTTTACAGTTATGTAACAACAGTTCCATTTGAGTGTGTGTTCTGGCCTTAAGGTCAAAGATATAGATCTTGTGGCATTAGAGGCTTCTGGCTAAACTCTGTGACTAAATACTGCCCTTAGCTGTTGACTGTGCTGCCAAGAGAGTCCATATTAAAAATGTTTTCATAGTGGCAGTGTGTAAAGAAATCATTATTTTTTTTCCCCAGCCATCAACAGTGTGACATAAAATTTCCATAACAAGTACAGAAATTAGAACATGGTGAAGTACAGAGAACTTAACCACCTGTTATGTATGTCAACCACAAATTATGATGAATGAGGGTCTCTCTCATGCATCATTAAATTGTAATATATTATGCTGTTGTATCTTCATCAGAAAAGTTTTTTTTTGCAAGTTTTAGGTAGCCTGCATATTTACTCTCCCTCCCTCTGAACAGCTCAGAAGTTCCTTATCTTTGTAGTCCAGACATTTTCACTAAACATATTCTGATCATTGCAGAGATCAAATTGCCTCTGGATGGACAAGTAAAATTTGTTGTGCATAGACTACATTCAATTCCTATACGTCAGCACTTACTGCTATCTGCTGATATGTGTCCTGATTGATTTGGGTTGGAGGAATTCTCTCTGCACATACTCTTGTTGTTGTGAAATATTAAGATTGTAGTGTTCAAAGTGATTTAAACATCACCTAAAATACATGCACAATATTTATGACTTTCATCTTCCTGTAATATGCATTTTGAAGACTTTTCACCATTAAAATAATAAGATATCTTGCTTAAATTGTTAATTGCTATGGTGACAATACTCTGAAACCCATGTATAAGCTGTTTAATGTTTTTAAAGAACTGTGTGCAACCTGTAATCAGTTTTTAAAAAAAAAGGTACAATCACAACTGAACTTGTGTTTCCAGTGCTTTAACATTGACATATAGAGGACACATACATACATGTTTTTTTTAGTATATGGACCACATAAGCCGCACTAGTAGAGGCAGTCATCATTGATTATTTGCGGGTGCTGTGGTTTAGGCTCTGTTTTGTTTTGTTTGTTTTTTTAATATCAGCATTTAATCTGGCAACCCAACTGAGAGACTAATGTGAGGCTTATACTGTTTCTGATTGGACTGCCTTCTTGAGAACCAAAACTCCAAATTATAACAAATCTTACATACAGTTCCTTAAATGGCATTGTAAAAACATGAATTAAATCTAGTATCTGGTTACCCCCCTTTCCTTTACAACCTCATTTCCACTAGCCACTATGGGGGCAAAATTGAATCTCACGCTTGAAGATGACGTGTCTAGAAAAGGTCATTTTAATCTGTACCTGACCACCTCTTACCCCCTCTCAGGCTGTAATTGTGCAAAGGAAGCAACCAACTGTGTGACTTACTTCAGAAAGTGACAGGAAGTATATGAGGTCACTTCCTACTGTTTCTATGACTATCTTTCATTGGAGATGGAAAAATAACAGGAACCCCACATAGACTACGTGTAAATGTGCCTGTAATGATCTTGAATGAATCCACTCTTGCATTTGAAGTACTTATTGCTGTCAGTCCATATCTTTATTATTCTGTATCTTCCAGTAGTTGGGATTTTTCTACTATAAAACAATATTGTCCACATGATTACACTTTTGACTGACAGCTCCCTGTTACTGCTTAATGATTTGTTACATTCAACCATGCAGTAAATCGTGCAGAATGGCTTTTTCAATTGTTGTTGAAACCTCATCTTTTCCCGTGGTACAATTTATAAGTTGTGTTTATGTTATGTTGGAGATTCATATACAGTATCAAGGTTAGGAGAACAAATATCCATTATGGTCTTATATCTGCAGGTTTAGGGGTAGACAAAGTTGGTGTTTATACATTCACTTGTCCTGGTTTGGTTCTGGCCAAGTTTAGATCTGATGTAGCCTTGGTTTAGTACTGTCCTTCTCCAGGTTTAATGGAGATTCATTAAGGAGGCCCATATTATGCTATTTTCTGATTTATGTTATAATATTCTTTCCTCATCAAAAACATACCTGGGGTTTTATTTTGTTTCTTTCACACATGTTCAGGCTGAGTTCTTCTCTCTGTCCCACCTTTTTAAACTCCATACACCTTCAACAGAATCATTTGGATGATTTCAGCCTTAAAATTACCAATCTCCACTGAACAATAGATAAAAGGTAGCTGTTAACTTAAAGTTAGTTAAAACTATTGCCTAATGACATCACAAGGTGGAACAGAGCCTTTTGAGCTTTGGAGATGTTGACTGACCAATAATAAAATGTTACTCAAACATCTATGTTATACCTACCTGTCTTATAATATTCATGTACATTTTTATTTAGTACTCGCTGATATTTCACTGATCAGATGCTAAAACTGCATTTTGTTTCACTATACTAGTACTTGAACAAGTGCAGTGTCAATAAATTCACTCCAAACCTGCTGTTATTGCAATTTGAAATATTTTATTTAATCTCCAAGGTACTTCAAGGACTTGGTATACTTTATTCCAATAACAATGAAAATGCCACACCAGAAGCCACTTTACCTCCAAGGGCTAAAATGCACTTATCTAAGAAACATATATCTTGAATCAGAATCGGTCATTTTCATAAGAACACAAGAAGGACCTTGAGCGTCAACTTTTGTATATATTTAATGGCTACAGGAGCAACAACAGTTATTTCCACTGTATACATTAAAGTTCACTTGCTGACATATATTAACACTTTCAGCATGTACAGATGTAAGCCAAGGTGTAGCTCTCTGTGCAGTACCAAGACATATGTTTGGACAAATCATGTGTTTGAGGCACAGACTGTACAGCAAAACCATGAAACATTTGGACAATTTACCACAGCTTAGAAAAAATAAATGTGCAAGGTTCATAATAAAATACTTTTTTCAGCAGAGCATGATACATGTTGTTTAGTAATCTTTTTATAATTTCACAATAGCAAAATATATGCCAATAATAATAAGTATACATTTTATTTATATAGCACTTTTTGGACACTCAGCTCATTTAGAAGCTACAGTAAAGCATTAATCACATGATTAACTTACATATGCATAAAAATAATGGGTTAAAGCTTGAGTAGGTATCAAAATGGCCCAATATTTTCTATGTATTCTAATACACTATCTATCACTATATATATTATTATTAGACATATTGTACATTATATATTATTATATAATTGTTGATTTTTCAACAGCAGTATCTTGTCCATCTCCATATTGATTTTATAGCAACACAGACAGAATTTTAAGGACAGTGATGAGGTTTTATTATTAGTCAACCCTTCACATTTCTCATGAAGTTCTTTATATTCTTCCACAGTGAGAATCCAAAGGATCACAGGGAGGTCATGTAGACCTATTCACATATCTGCACACCCGACACTTATTATTAACAATATTGATTCTTATTGAATTTCTAGCCCGTACGACAAAAGTAGCTATGCTAATAAACTCCACATAACTTTGCATTAGAGGGCTTGATTCTCAGCAGTATCGGCCAATAGCTTATTTGCCCAAAGTCTACAGTAAAAACCAAGTGATTAACTGTACCATTGCCAAAAGTAATAAACATCTCTGTGGTCTGCCTACAACAGCTTTAACACTTTATACTGTATGTACAAATAATACACAAAGGTTTGATTTGTCCTGTCAATAAACACTGACTTTTTTCATCAAAGCAGAGTGTTCTCAGGCTCACAGGTGAGAGGTAGGAATAGCATCAATATGAATGTTCACAATGGCTTTAAAACTACATGAAAATATATCAGCAATCAATCTACAAGAAAACTTTGCTGATTTAAAAATATTTTGCTTAGATTGATTAAACACCATGCCAAAAAGAATGATTTTACATGTAGGCAATAGATTAAGATAATCTTTCACGCACTGTAGTAACTGTTGACTCTTGTATATCCAATTTTTTGCTTGAGCACTCAACTACCGCTGGCCATGAGGATGTTTGGGTTAAACATTTACCTATGCATGCTTTTAGTAACAAAAACTTTAAACTACAGACTCTATTTTGTGCCATAAAATGCTGTATTTTTACTTCCACTTTATAGTTTACTGTTAGGATTTTGACATGCATGGATGACCAATAACACTCACTTACTTTTGCCAGCTTCCATCCTTATTCAAATAAAAGTCAAGCGAGATTGAAGCTACCAACACATAACATGGACCTGTACATGAGGCTAGTTATACATTCTTTATACAGTTCAAGTGTTTGTTTACATCATCTGTACATGGACCGAGACATACTTAGCTTGGGGGAAAGAGGCTGTTATTTAAGAGGTCACTGTGTCACTCCATTCTGTGTCAGTCCATTCAAAAAAGCTCATTAGCCACCCGCTAAGAGGACAACAAGTTATGAGTCTGTCCATGAAGTGTGTAATGCTGATGGTGTTCCAAAGTTCATAGGAAGTGTGCTTTATGGACAGAAAAATGAGCCAGCCACGAGGTTATCCCCGAATGTAAACAGTGTGGCCAACGAACTCGCTACAACAGGAGAACAGAACAACAGAATTCTGGAAACACACACATTTTGCAAGAATCTACTCAACAATTGTAGCTTTTTTGGCACAAGTTTGAGATTAGATTTTTTAAGTTGGTTATCTAACATTTATATTTATTCTTGACAAATATCAAAACATTAAAATCTACATGTTCCTCCAATCATACCATTGTAAAAATATTTGTGTTATTGTCATAGACTATACACATAAATATGGTAACTGTAGAAGCTGTGATGATATTAAGTGTTAACAATACAGAATGACAATGTGTATGTAAGTTGTGCATAAATTATCCAAAATAGCATCTGCAAATTATTGATTGTTTTCCCGTTGGCCATTTACTACATCCCTGTGTGGATGATGCAAGTGTTTACAGACACCAAAGACAGCTTAAGCCCACTATAGATCATGTTTAGAAGAGATAACTCAGATTTGGCCTCAGTCTCAATGCTAATGTGTGTCACTGCATAAGATTTGTAAATATGCACAGAGGGCACATCGACAACTGCCAACTCATTTACATTCATGGCCTTTGGCACTTAAACAGAATCAAAGCATAATAATTCAAGTAAGTGTGCATTTTGTACTAAATGATGGTGTTTGTTCTACCTGAATTTAATTTTGTTTTAAGATGCAAGATGACTAATTTCAGAGTTTGCCATAAAAGCTTTGTTAATTAACCACATAAATCATGCTTTTGTCACTTATTTGTACATGTACTGTTTTGTTTGAAAGAAACATAATATAAACTGAAATCCATAAGAAAGCTAACATGAATACATGCAGTTAACTAGATTCCTTCCCAGCCATTGAAAAATATGGTAAGATAAGTATTAAATACATTCTAATGATACATTCATAGATACACCCAATTAAATCATATCTTGAAGTCAGATCTTCATGGTAATGTGCTGTTCTTAATAAACAACAAATCACAGAACAGCAAGAACCTTTAAAAGTCCAGTCTTGTCTTCACTTGTTTTTTTTTTTTTTTATCTTCTTATATCCAACACACTTATAGTACAGTATATACAGTACATGACAGATACATGTGTTCTGCAGTGTACTTGAAGTGCCATTTTCCTTCTCGTTCGCTGTCAGTATTTACCAGTTAGCGCGCACACGTTGTTGCATGCATTTCTCAAACTATAGCAACAAATGATTTCCTTAAAGGTCTTCCTCATCTCCTGGCTCCTGAAGGCGTAGATTAGCGGGTCGATCACAGAGTTGCACATAATCAGAATGAGGTACATGTTGAAATGAGACATGAAGCAAACGCAGTACAGATTCCGCGGACAAGAAATCATCAGAATCAAATGGAGGAAAAATGGTGCCCAACAAACAATGAAAATCCCAAGGAGTATGGTTAGCGTGATGGCTCCTTTCATGCTAGCGCGCTGGTGGATGGAGTTATAACCGGGTAAAGCAGCGATGCGTTTGACGTGTGAGCGGGCTAGCATGAACATGTGGCTGTAGAGGGACGCCATGATAAGGAGCATGGCGAAGAACATGGACACCAGGCAGATGATGACCGGGGTGGAGTCAGAGTAGATGATAAAAACAATGCCACAGCCTGTGCAAAAAGTCCAGATGCCTCCAATGATACAGCCAGCGCGCCGTACGGTCATGATGTTGTGGTACCGGAGGGCGTAGAAGATAGTGATGTACCTGTGAGAACAGAAGAAGAGATCCAGTCTCTATTCAGTCAAATATAATTTATAGAGCTCTTTACAACACACAAGGTAACTAAAGTGCTTTCCAATAACATCAACACAAGAACATGCACATGAACAATGAAATAAAACAAACTGTGCATAGTGTCACTGCTGAGTGTAAAGAAAAAAGTCTGAAAAGATGAGTTTGTAACCTGGATTTAAACAGATCAAAGCTCTGCGCACTGTTGGCTGTTTGACCTCAAGACCCTGTTTGAGTTCTGAACAGACAGGAGTTCAGTCAAATAGGGAGGGAAAGGCCATTAACAACTTTAAAACAAACAATAATATTTTGAAATCTTTTCTAAAAGAAACTGGAAGCCAAAACTCCAAACTGAATTTTAGTTTTCCTAAACAAAATTTTATCTCAGCAAATGCATTTAAATTTTTTTTTAAAACAGATTAATCATCTCCCAAAAGCCAGATTGACCATCAAAACTCTCAAACTTCTGCCAAGTGATTTTTCTGCTCTTTCATTCACTTGATAGTGCAGCTCAGAAGACTGAGACCCGCTCTCTGTCACCAAAGAGAATCACTGGTTTATGCAGTCTGACATTTGAGTTCATACTTTTTTTCTTTTTCAATCACTTTGGCAAATTTATCTAAGCACATTTATCTAATGAAAACTGACATCTGCAACACAGCTCACACAAAAGCCTAAACAGAATTTTACTTTTCCTAAACAAAATTTCATCTCAGCTAAAAGATGTTTTTCATTCAAAACTGTCAAGTGTTTTTGTGCTCTTTCATTCATTTGATAATGCATTATATAAATGTACACATTATCAACTACAAAATAGATTTTGCAGTATCTGATCCAAAATGTTTATGTTGAAGAAAACTGAAAGATATTGGAATAGCAAATTCACCAACTCTAAATGTGTACTGAAATATGTAAACATTTACACTTCTCACAGTGTGGATATCTGTACTTAGTCTATATTCCTACAGTTTGTACTCACTGCTGAGACCATTCTTGTGTGAAATCCTTTCTTTGTTAGATTTGGGGAGCTCACAAATTGTAGTTTTTTGCTATTCTGTTTGAATTTCTGTATTGAAAGTGACAGTGTTTGGGCCATCATCCTTAACCACTTGAGAACAGGCTGTAGTATTGAAAAAACAAGGTAATTCAGTGACCATGGATGTTTCTGCATCAGAGCTGTGTTCTAAAAAGAGCCTGAGGAGTGATGAGAAATGTTCCAAACAGAAATACACAAATACACAGAATGCAGTGATGAGCCTGGAGAAGTTGTGTAAAAGGCAATGAATTTGAATAGACTGTCATTGGTGCAGATATATACTTCATCACCACTTTAAAATGGCCTTAATAACCCTTAACAGATGAACAAGGACTTAATTCATAATGAAGAAATTGTTTAAGAATGGTTCAGTGTTCTTAATTAAGGGGTTACAGTAGCTTTCATTAAAAAATTACCATTGTTTACTTCCCCATCTAAAGTTGATATCAAAAGGCAAAATTGTGAACATCTTTGAAAACAACAACAACAAAATAATACATATTCTCTAATCTGATTTGAAACAACTAACTGGGATTTTGATTATGCAAGCCATTATCTTGAAACACTCTGAACCACTAAACATTCAAACATGGTTAATTACTATGGTTAAATCAAAAATAAATATACGGTGGTGTATTGCTCTCACTCCCCAAAAAATATTTTGGCTCAGTATCACGTAATTACGTGATACTGAGCCAAAATATTTTTTGGGGAGTGATAGCAATACACCACCGTATTACGGTATAAATAGACTTGGCAAAGAAAAAAAAAATATTTTGAAATTTTTAAAAAAGTGGGCCAAATAACAAAATTATAAACCCAGTAAATTATAATTATTACCAAGGAGAAAGAGTCTTCACCAAAACAAACAAAAATGTGTTCCCTTGTCATTGTATTCTGCCAGTATTTTCAACTATTTTAAAAATTGTTTTATCAATAATTAAATGATTTCCTATTCTGGAAACAAGAACAAACATGTGACAGCATTTGTTTCCCTCGGCCCTTTTATGAATAGCATGAAAAAGACAAATATTATGATTGACTGTGTTTATATTTGTAGTGATTTCTCATAAACCTTTTGTTGGAGCAGTCTCACCTGTCAACAGCGATGGCCAGCAGGCTGCACATAGAGGCCACCACAGAGATACAGATCATGGAGTCAAAGACGTTGTCCATCTGGCGAATGAAGTTGTCTTCCACCACCAGCTGTCTGTTGTTCAGGAGGTAAATAATGATGCTCTCCCAGGCATTGGACACACTCACCAGCATGTCTGCCACAGCCAGGCTACAAACACACGGATCACATTTGGACAGTGCGATTACTCAACAGATCAAGAGATTACTCAAGAAATACATGTATTGAAATTCAGAATAGCCCTTCCAACCACCACTAATAATATAATCACATTCACTCAGGCAAGGTGGGTGAAATGAGTTAGAGGAAAATGAACTCCCTGAGGATGTATAAAGGCTAATCCATGACAAAAACACAGAAAACAGCCAATTTAACTATTACACACATAAAAGCACTTCATTTAATGGTTACTAAGTGAGAGAAAGTACACTGGACAACTTTGTTTGCCATGTAGGTGGTTCAAAGGTACTGTGTTAAAGAAACCCGGGGGTATACTCTTTGATTAGATGTGAGGACATAAGATATAAGAAGCGGATGGCTTGGGTATCATCAAAGACCTGCCATTCAAATCATTTTCTCCTTTTGTCATGCCTTCACATATTTTCTATTACTTCAGCAGCACAAAAGAACTGCTTTATTATTCGAGAAATCTGCACACAAGTTCGCACACACACACACACACACACACACACACACACACACACACACACACACACACACACACACACACACACACACACACACTGAAACATTGCATCTATACCCACAAAGATATGCAAAATGATCTCTATAAGAAGTGGTCAGAGCAGAATTATCTACTAATGTGAAATTAACTGAAGGTCTGTAAAGCAATGAACTGGATAACTTGTAACTTGTAATATGGATGTAAATTGTAATATCGATGCAACATTACCCATATAGCATTCAGTCATTCAATACAACCCTCACAATACAACATGTGGCTAAATACACTTGTAGTACAAATCCAGACACCTTTAGCACTGCAAGAAAAAAGTGATAATATAGACACATATGTTGTTGTTCTTCTGAGGCCTAAAATGTATAGAAATTGTATGGATATTGATTAATTGAGATGAAATATGTATTGAATGAATCGTTACAAAACTGTATTGTTGCATCACTCGAGCTCAAAACAAGTATTAATTAATTAATGCATTTATATAGTGCCTTTCAAGATACCCAAAGCACTTTCCAGTTCATTGTTCATTCACTCCACATTCAGTGATGGTAAGCTACTACTGTAGCCACAGCTGCCCTGGGACAGACTGACAGAAGCGAGGCTGCCAGTCTGCACCATCAGCTCCTCTGACCACCACCATCACTGATGCACACACCACTTCCATACTAGCTAATGTGGATAAAGTGTCTTGCCTAAGGACACCTGCCCCACTGTGGCACCTGATTTTCCCAGCGGTCTCCCATCCAAGTACTAACCAGGCCCGGCCTTGCTTAGCTTCTGAGATCTGACAGGATCAGGCGTTGACAAGCCACAAAGTTATGAAAGACAGATGTATAATTTTGTTGCCTCACGGTGAACAAATCACCGTTTAACTTTTAACTCAAGTATTTTTTTCCAGATTAAAAAAAAAATATTAGTACATTTTGGTGACTCTTACTAACTGTCTGCCTCTGGAGTTGAGCTCTTGAACACAATTAGCATTCACATTTAGTTAGTATAGTATTTTATATATTTTTAAAAATACATGTTACATGTTAGATATTTATATAAATCACCAAAACACAATCCCGGTTAGTGCATCCTGTTCACTGCCAATAGAAATAATGCCTTCGTATTGTCAGTTGAATCTATAGATCTCACTAACATTAACAATGGCACATGTTACATTCATATACTGTATCCTGCATGAATGACGTCACCACCTTCACATGTAGAGCTGACACTTGTTAATGTGCAAATGAATGTGGCTCTGGGACTCATTACACAGTCTCTTACAGCTTTACTGCACTGACTATGTCAGGCACATGCACACACGCTACACATATAATCCATAGAAGAACTAATTAAAGTTGTGAAGTATACGAGTCTAAAGGCCAGGAGCTTTTTACAGAGAACAAAACATTGATTGGGTAGTTTATTAATGACTTTATTATCTCATGTGCTTTAGATGGCTCAGGCTTCACCAGGACAGGAATCAGGAATCCAAAAAAAATGTCAAGTGACTCATTACTGTACAGATAATTGGCCTTGGAAACCCTCAAGGAGAACAAAAATGAAATCTTCATGAAATATGCAGTAAAAAAAAAATAAAAAAAGGAGGGGGATTGGGATTTTAAGCAACAATCCTTCAATTTATAACTGTGGACTACAGGCATAATGATAACATATGCTATTATAAGATTCTACAAAAATCAAATAAATAAAGCCCCAAAGATTATTATTATTAGTGTTGGACGACAGCACGATCTGTAAACCAGGAAGAGGGGGCCGTTTTACTCTCACACACCTTGGGTACTATCCTGATGTCTAACAGCAGATGGCGCTGTCATCAAGTCTCCAGCAGTAAAAACTCACATTCCAGAAACACCATGCGACCCCTCTGAGGAAGACTAAACTTTGGTCTGAAAAAATAAAATGTTGACTGCAAGACCAAAAGGATTATGCTTTCATTTAACCGTATCCTTGGTATTCTGTTTACAGAGCTCCCATTAATTAAAAGAGAAGGAAAAGTCTAGTTCACTATAAGTTCATGTAAAACTAATTTCCTTTAGCCCGGCCGCTACTTGAAGATGGGCCATCAGCTTAGTTTACCTTAAGCATTTAAACCTCTATTTAACTGGCAGCTGACGATGCAGTTACAGACTGCTTACTGCACGACAGCTGATGGGCAAATTAGATCTGCAGTCCGGTGTGTATTAACCAGGGATACAAGCTTGATCTTTCCTTTTAAAGATACTTGGATGGTTTACCAAACTTGGAAGTGGGTTAAAAGCGTAAGTGGGTCTTATTTAAAGCCCCAAACAGAAATCCTTACTATACACACAGCTTATGTAACCAAGTCTTCTGCTGCTTTAGACATGCTTCACTAACATCACTCACTTTAAGTTGTTGATATACCATTTTATTTGTCCAAATATACAAATACATACTGTATATAGAAAAGCAATAGCTTTAAGAAATAATACAGTATATAGGCAACAGTAAAGAAGGGTATTTTACTATCTGTTATGTAAATAAAATAGTTACCTTTATTGTGTTACCTTTTATTGTTTTAAAACTGCTATTTCCTTCCTTTGCTCCCTGCGTTAAATCACTCCCCCTTCAGAGCACTATCACAACACAATCAGTGTGCATTACGCTAATGAAACTGCTGCACACTGCATCAGGTTTGTCAAATTGTTGTGTACCTCAGTTAAATGTACAGTATATTTATGGAGAATTGTCATGTGGGAACATGGGTGACATAGGCTTGTAGGCTGAGCACTAATTAGACAGAATCTTACAGCTAACTGTATGGAGGGTTCAAACAGGGCCTGAGAGAGATCTTTAAAATTAAAACTCGAAAAACTTTTTTGATAAGAGAACAATGTTATAACATGGTAGAAATCTCAAAAAATAGATTTAATTATGTGTGCAATAGAAATCTATTTTTATGGCTAAAAAGTTACGTATGGAGGCTTTAAGTAAGGATACATTTAAGGTCATTCAGTACTGAGAGTACCCTTTGTTTTTCATCGTAACTTTTTGCGCATCACCTGCTTGTTTCTATGAATATGTCAGAGTGTCACCTAGAGTTTCAGTGTTATTGGTGCTTACCTGCAAACAAAGAAGTACATTGGTGAGTGCAGGTTTTTGTTTTTGACAATCGCTGTGATCACCAGGATGTTTTCCAGCAGAGAGATTATTCCCAGGATCAGGAAAACCTACAGACACACAGATAATCACTTTTGTGGATAATATCCCAAGAAAACAATAAATCATACCAGGAAAGAATATTGCACTTTTCTCAAGTTTTTGGAAAAAGACACAGCCACACAGTGCAGAAGAAACTAAACAAAGGAAAGTTTTAAACATTTCTATTACACAGTCTAGACAGACAGATAACAGCACATGAAGAATGAAAGGTTTCATTAAGGTGAAGAGTTTCCAGAATGAAGTATTCACTTAGACCCTGCTCAACTGTATTTTATAAATGGCAAAGTTCTAACTGTGCACTGCTAAAAAAAGGTGAGCAATAAAATATCTAAAGCAGCAATGTTTTATACTAATGTTTCTTGATAAGGCAGTATAAATAAATAAATAAAGTGGATTAGAGGCATTAACTGACATTGAAACTCCAAAAATGGTAGTAAACACATTTATTCAAATCTGTAGGAAACACTGAATCTCAATTGCGTTTTGTTCAAATAACTAGTAAATATATTCTAAAACATTACAATACGCAAACTTTAAGGTTTGATACAATTCAAATCTGTGAAGAGTCACCCCTATTCACAGAAGGAGTAATTTTATTTTTGAGCAATAGAAACACCTCCATCCATCCATTTTTTTCCGCTTCCGGGGCATCCGGGGCAGCAGTCTAAGTAGGGACTTCCAGACTTTCTTCACCCTGGACACTTCCTCCAGCTCCTGTGGGGGACTCCAAGGTGTTACCAGACCAGCTGAGAGACAGCGTGTCCCTCCAGTGTGTCCTGGGTCTTCCCCGGGGCCTCCTCCCAGTGGGACATGCCTGGAGGTGTCCAGGAGGCATCCAGAACAGAGCCCCGAGCCACATCAGCTGGCTGCTCTTGACATGGAGGAGCAGCAGCTCTACTCCGAGTTCCTCCTGGGTGACTGAGCTCCTCACCCTATCTCTAACTGAGAACCCAGGGCCCCTGTGGAGGAAACTCATTTCGGCCGCTTGTATCCACGATCTTGTCCTTTCGGTCATTACCCAAAGCTCATGACCATAGGTGAACAAGACCCTGAGATACTTGAACTCCTTCACTTGAGGCAGGGACTCTCCACCCACCCTGAGAGGGCAAGCCACCTTTTTCCGGTCGAGAACCATGGAATTGGATTTGGAGGAACTGATCTTCATCCAAGCCGCTTCACACTCGGCTGCAAACCGCCCCAGTGCATCTTGCAAGTCTTGGTTTGATGATGCAAACAGCAGAAATGAGACCCTGTGATCCCCAAACGGGACCCCCTCCGGCCTAGAACTGTGCCTAGAAATTCTATGCACAAATACAATGAACAGAACTAGTGACAAAGGGCATCCTTGGCGGAGTCCAACATGCACTGGAAACAGGTCTGACTTACTGCCGGCAATGAGAACACAGTTCCTGCTCCAGTCATACAGGGACCGGACAGCCCTTAGCAAAGGGCTCCGAACCTCATACTCCCAGAGCACCCCCCACAGGACACCATGAGGGACACGGTCAAATGCCTTCTCCAGAACCACAAAGCACATGTGGACTGGTTGGGCAAACTCCCATCAACCCTTGAGCACCCAATGGAGAACATAGAGCTGGTCCACTGTGTGGTTGTCACCAGGGTGAAAACCACACATAGAAACACCTGTGATAAATAAATGCAATATATGTGTTTAATGTCATACCATGGAACATTCCAGGCAAAGCAATAACATTTCCATGGAGACAAGCAAGTAGCGGACCCTCCACCAAAAAAGTTGCTCAGTGCATAAGACTTAACTTACCTCTATAGCGATGTGCATTTGCTCACATGCTGCTGGCTTGGATGTCCCACTCTTGTCAGACATAAGTGGAGGGACCAGGGTGTAGTTGTGAGAGTACTCTCCCCATGATGAGTTACTCAACAGCGTCTCCTCTCTGTAGGGGGACCCCTCAGACACATTCATCCTGCTGTGGTCCAGTCCCGATTAGAGCTGCAGTAAACTAGAGGCCATTCTGCAGACAGGCTGAGAGAAGACAGAAGAAAACGCAAATGAAAATAAAGTTCAGTTGTCTAGTTGTTTTCTTTAGAATTACTCCAAAACTATGTACAAAATGAGGTACATCTAGTTCCTGTACAGGGAGGTCAGTGTGTTGGGTGGGAGCTATGCTGTTAGTGCTGTTTCATTATTGATACTTTGCAGTGACATCATGCTGGGGGTGTACTACATGTAGCTCTATTGGGGGAATGTTCATAAGTTACCATGGTAACACGATACACACAATAACAAACCCAGACAAAAAACATCTAAAAAATACTCTGTAAACTCAAGAAAAAATACCAAATGGATTGAAACACCACATTTTTAGGAGCCTCTATTCAATACGAGCATTCATTGTCCTTCGGAGTTTGATTTTCAACATAAATAGTGAGTGTGAGTAACTGAAAAAACAGTTGACTATTGCTACTTTATGACTGTTATTCTATTTGAGAGGGACTTGTTTAGCAAAAGCCTTACAGTTGTGTTCATGGAGCTGTGGTTCATCACTGAGTGCTCAGTGTCACACTTTTGTGCTGTACACCAGTGTGGGGTGGACCAACACACAAGAAGGCTCAAGCACTTGTACTTATGTACAAATGTATTCTTGGTCAGCTCCCCTCTTACCTACAAAGGCATATTGTTAAGACCCTGGTGCCTATAACCTACAGCCTATAGCCTGTTTTTATTGTTCATTCCCTAGGGTTAGGTCTGAATTTCGAAATAAAGCTTTTCAGTTTTCTGCTCCATGTGCTGAAACCTTTACCATAATGACTTGAAGTTGAAGGAGCTAGTTTCTTTCAAAAGAATGTTAAACAATAGGGAAATAGAAACACCATTGTGTAATTGTTTAACTGATCTTTTGAAGCTGTTTTGATTGTGACTGTGGGCCTATAATAAACTTGTTGCCTCTTGGCCAGGATGCTCTTGAAAAACAGATGTTTTAATCTCAGTGAGATTCTCCTGGTTACATAGAGCTTTTTTGTTTGACTTGTTTTGATCAGATGCCCCACATGTTCTCTAATTACAGTGACTTCACACGCAGTTAAAGTGGTAGCCGCAGGAACATCCTGTTATTTTAAATCAGATGTTCATAAAGTCTTTCTACATTTGAACTCTATGATGACTGGTGGAAGTGAATGCTAACATTATGTGTTTACAGAACACAAGTTATGCACACAGTAATTTACAGTAAACATTAGGCAGATTTGTATACATTCGATGACACTACACTCGGGTGTGTTACAATGTGCCCATTCTTCAAAATGTACTTAGTGAGGTGGGGATAAGTGACTTTAGGGCATCTACATTCCCAACTTGACTGGATTGTATTCTAATGGGAATTATACTTCAGATAAATAATGGGTTTAGGAGACATTTGACTTATGGTTCTAACACACTAACACACGGACTGGCAGGAAATAAAACTTTATGGTACAATGAAAAAATACACAAATTTTTGATATGAGGCAGCTCATACAAATATATTCTCAAACACAATTCCCTAAATATAATTCAGTAAATACATAAACGTGCTAGTTAGGTGGTATTTAAGTTTGGGGCCAAGAACTTGAAATCTCCAGAGCGTGTCATGGTCTAATAAAATAAACGTGCCCTAATTATATAATTAATTAATAACTTTAGTGTGGTCACTTTGACCTGGTTCTTCACTAAAGGCTCTTTATGCAAGCTGATTGGATGACTTCTGGTACAAGGTAAACACACCAATAGAAAAAAATTATGTGAAATGGAAATATCCTTCCAAAACCTGACCTTTTTGAAAGTTGTAGATGCGGTTGAAATGTCAGAAAAAAATTACAATCTTTGGGGAAATCTGAAAGGATAGCCTGATAGGACCTGTTATACCAGTAAATTCCTGCTTAAAAAGTCCAGATCAAACTGTATTTTGAGTGTTCTGTCTTGTTTCAGACTGAATGCTATAAACTTAATCCCATTACAGAGTTATACCATGCAGAGTGGAACAATATTTAACCTTAGCTGCGAGGCAAAAAGCACAAAGCCAGTGTGTTTTTTTTCTTTTCCTTTTACAATCTATGATGCAGGATGCACTTTTGAAGACAGTAATTGGAGGAAGCATGGATTATTTGTGCCAATGGGAATTCAATTGTTTGGGGCTTTAAGGCAAACAGCAGCCCTGCATCAGTCTTTCATGTTGCAACTGGGCATGTTAATCACAATTAACCTTTCAAAAGAGGCACCCACGCAGACACAAGGAGCTAATTTCATTTACTCCTATCTAGTCTGTGAGTACTACATAACTGTAAATGCTAAAATTATATTTGTACTGTTGCAAATGATGTGGCTTAGTCTTGGACCCTTGCTAATCACCTTTGATAAGCCATATCCATTGGACAGACACATAACACACAGACAGGGAAACAACCATTCGCCCTCCAATTCAGTCACAGACTATTTAGAATAATATGGTTATAAACAAATCTATCAGTTACATTAGTCACCTCAGTAAGAGGATTAAATCAATGCCGATCCTGTGGGGAAGCAAAGACATATTGGGATATGGTTGCTTAATAGGCTATAAATAAATTACTTTTAATTACTGGTTCTTGTCTATTTCCCAAACATTTTCTCCAGACATTTCATCCTTCATTTTTTTCTCTCTTTTCTATATTGTGCCTTTACTGGCCTAAACCAACCCAGCCTGGAAGAGATCTGCTTATTATGAGTCAAAACACACTATATTTAGACTTCCAGTAAGCCTTTTATGAGCTCCTATCCGGGGACAGTCTTGTTCACACATGGAAGCAATGTATAAAATGTAATGTAATCCTAAAGTAAGATTCCTGACTGTTTTTATTCAAATAAAACATTCTGATTGAATTTAACTTTCGTAAAAAGATAAAAAATTTAAAACCTGCCTAGAGTATTTACATAAACCACCAAGATTGACCTTGTTTCATCAGTCCTGTGAAATACGGTTTCAAAACCCAAACTAAATATTAGATTAAGCTTTACATAAAATGTACCACTCATAGTAAGCCAAAACAGGAAATGCATTCAGATGACTGTCTATATCTTCCATTGCCCCAAGTAAGTTTTTATTGGAGTGGCAAGAAGCAGTGCTTTGCAGCTTGGATTATGACTAATAAAAAAAGATTAGATACTATATGGTCTGAAATACACAAGATTGTTTGAAGAGGTATAGCTGAGACAAGAAAACATGGGGCTTGAATTGAAAGGGTCGCAAATAGACCCATTAAGAAATAATCTTTGTTAAATGATGTAAAACCAAACAAAAGCGATGAAGTTAATGGGCTGAGCTATACAAATGTTTGTCCTAGAGTCAGGTTTCTCAAGAGATCGCAGCTTCTGAAGTTTAGTCCAAACTATTCTGTTAATACCCATCTTATTCGTGGGGCAGATACAGAGCACTTTTATTTATGCACATGCTTATAGATATGAAAACTCTATATAGACAAAGACAAAAATAATTAAAAAATGTATCTCTTTCATTAGCTGTCTAAATGCATACTGAGAAAAAGGACACTTTACATCTTTTGAATTTTCCCCTTCACCTTGTTTTTTCTTCTTACAACCATTGTTCTCTATAATACTACCACCATGAGAAACTTAACACTTCAGTCTTGTATAGATCACTGTAAAAAAGAAAACCATGGTAACAGTGTGTGTTTATTTGCATAAGAGAAACTTGGCAAATAACCATGGGCATTCCCATTAGACTTTTACTTAAAACTCATAGAATATAAAGTCAAATACAAATCTAAATCGATATAAATGAAAATGATCTCTCCATCTCAAATCAACCACCAGCTACATCAGCCTTTTATAACTCCATTCCACTAGCAAGAGGCACCATTAAGTATAATATATATTTATATAAACAATAAATGAAAGTTATCCATCAATATACATGTATTATCATTTGCAATTATCTGACCAAAGAGGAACATTTAAACATTTCTACACTGATTTGGGACGCAAGATGACCTCACAGACCTGTATAAATTTTGTCTTTACACAGCAATTAATTAAGCTCGTTCCATTGACAGAGACATGTGGATCTTAACTGTAAAATCTATAAGCAGGCTTTCTTGTATTAGCCTGCCGCTGAGTGATTCATTAATAAGACGGTGTGCTCTGCATTAGCTACGATAAACAACAAGAGGAAGGCCTGACTTTTGAAACATGGATCTGTCAAAGCAACTATTGTTCCCTGTAGATTATAAATCCCTTTAACATTTTCAAATATCACAATAATAAGTCTAATTAATTAACAAGCAATTCATATGCCTTTATCTAAGCATTATCCATCAACTGACTAGTGGCTTGCGTACCTCGGTTACATATACTTTTCTATTTGTGAATTCAGTAACACATGGAAATGCAACGTTGTGACAGCTATTTGATTAAATATAACCTTCCTTTCCTAGAACACTCTCCAATTCTTTGCTGTCGTTTACCAAAAAGAGAAAACATTTTATTACTATGTCTGCCCACATTTAAAGAAAAAAATTGCTTCTGTGTCCCTTTACCTCTTTACCTTTAATTTCCCTTGGGATCAATAAAGTGTTTCTCTTTCTCTCTACCTTAAGGAATAAAATGAAATCATGTCCACAGTGAATATTAGACTTTCTTTGAACATAAAAGTTGCCTCAAAATTGGAATATGCAGAAATAGTTTCCTCCTTAAAGGCCATTCTATGAAATGATTATTGTAGTCATGGATGTTTGGTTAGAAATATTAACAGAAAAATCTCTGTTATGTCTGGGGAAGGTGCTAATGCAAACACATTTCAGTTTTATTAAATACAAAAAAACATAAAAGTACAGAACATCAACAACATGTGGAAATCAGCTGAGCATACCTCAAGGATCAGCCCTATCACCGTCATTATTCTGACATTACATAAGACAAAAGAGTGAGGTTTG